GTCTAAACTAGTCAGAAAAATCGAATCTCACGTTCAACATCGTTCAACGTTGTGGAATGGAGGCAGTGCCTCAATGCTCAAGCTCACGCATGGAAAATAAGGTTGGGTGTTGAACAGGGAGAGTAGCTAGCTGCTGAAACCATCTGCTTTGCAGACGGGTTATGTTTGCACCGTAAACTGGGTATCAGGCTTGATAGCATTATTGCGTTGTTTGCCAGGTTGTCAATAATAGGAAGGTTCCTTGCATAATGGGGCTAAGTCCGGACACCCGCATCTTCGAAGCGTTCGGCTGTAGGCCTGCTCTGGCGGAAAACTCTGTAAGCCAGTGATGGTGCGAGTGGATGGCCGCGGACAGCTCAGCACTTAGGCATGTGCAGTCACGCCTCAGCTGCTCGTTACCACATAAGATTCCAAGAACCTCCGAAACCTTTTGTTGGGACCCCAGGTCCAGAGCAAATGCTCGGCAGGTCTAGGCACCAGACGTCGCCAGAGCCAGCACCTCAGCCGTTGCTCTTGGCTTCCGTGGGGACACTGCTTGGGTTCGACGACTGCTCTGTGATTTGTTTGCAGGAGCTCCCCCGGCTGCACACCTAGAGGACCTAGAACCTCCAAATGAAAGGCCAGACTATGAGAATAGCTGTCCGCCTATTCGGCTTTGCTCCAGCAGCTCTGGGAAGCCCAATCGCTGAACTGAGCTCAGGGCCCTAGCTGATAACCTCCTCCAGGTGGAGCATGTAGGTGCCTCAGTGAGGCGCGACAAGCAAGGGCGATCAGCGACTTATCCAACTGCACGTCCCAAGGCACCCATGATCACCACCAGCACGGCCGTCAACGGCGCGACCATTGGGCACCCAACTCGGTAGCTGCAAACGTGTCTTGAGCGGTGATCGTCGACACTCGAGACAATTTGGCAGAGGCTTGGTGAGAGCGAAGATGCAAGCTGAAGCAATGCAGCTGAGCAGATTTGCATGCTGGGCCACCACAATCGATGCTAGAATCGAAACTGCATGTCGCGTCGCACAAACACGCTTGACACACAGAATACCTTCAGAACATCGCGGTCTTCGGAACACCTTGCACTCCAAGCCACAGTCTTTGAGCCTGCAAAGCCTGTCAGACATCAGGGAGGGGGATGGAAGCCTTCTGGGAGGTGTTATTCCCCGATTTCACTGCTTTGTCGCTGCACCAGATTTGGAGAAGCCTCCGAAACCAGACCAAGAAACCGCAAGTCGTGACAGTTGTTCTGGGTTAGAGGTCGGAAAACGAGCCGCTCACCTGCCCTTGGCCTTATCCAAGGGGATCTTCCAACCCTGTTTTGTCCAGGACCAACGGAACCAACAAAGTGGACTTGCAGAGGTTTTCTGAATAAGCAGTTGCAAGACACATGCTGCTGCACGTCATGGCTCGGACCTAGGGTGAAACAAACCCTGGCACAGTGTATGGACCATGGTCATGCGGCAGTGAGGAAATCTGGGAAGTGGAAGTTATCCAGCCGCAAAGCCTGGGAAACTTAGGCCTCACTGGGCCCTGCCCTTCGTTAGATGTCTGAGTGTTGTAGTCTTTGCCAGGCAGCTTCATCACGCGCGAGAGGCGGGCAAATCGCTCCAGGATGAGCAGCCGAAGCACCTGGGCAGGAACTGCTGAAGCAAACAGCCATAAGGTCGCTCTCGACAGGGCTTCGGACAGGCCATGGGATCATGGGCTTTGCAAAAATTGACAGCTGTACACATTCTACATCTGGATTGCTCCAGCTCTTCGCTCAGGCACCGGAAGGTGGATCAGGTGGTCAAGGTAGATCTCCGTCACAGCCACGAGGTCAAAGATATTGAACTAAGCGCAGGCTTGATGTCAAGCGAAAGTGCGGTCAACTGGCAGACACAGATTTGCCTCATCAGCGCGTGCTGAGTCTCATGCCGGGTTGGAGAAGAAACGCAGCACTGTCGACAGCGAGGGGTCGAAAGCCAAACGTGCAACGATCCTCAGAAGCAACTCGATGGTGAAGATCGCAGCGAAGAAGATGTCACAGCCTTGGCACCGGCCGGGAAAGGTTGATTCAGTTCAAGTGCAAGCCGTCATTCTATGGAGCACTTGCGTAGCAAACTGCATGCAACGCCAGAGAGAGATACTGACTAGGGGATAAGAGGCATCTAGTTTTAGTCACTGCAGTCGCACATCATCCCTCCGAGCTGGGACCAGCACCCAGCCAGAACATGTGCTCATCCGGCGGCTGGTCCTGGCCGTGTGCTGTTGAAGGCCAAGCTTACTTGGAGGCTAATGAACGCCCAGCTCTTTGGAGGAGCTACAGCCGCAACTAAAGCACCTACCAGTACAAGTTCGAGGTGATCTGCTCTCGCATTCTGAGGCTGTGGCATCATCGAGGCCGGAGATCATTGGCTCTGCAACGATGGCCACCACGTTCACAACGGTCAAGGCTGGGTGCACAAGGCATTTCGGCTCCAGAGCTTCGATCTTGGGGCTTTGTCTCGCTTAAAGGCTTCCGTTTCAGGATGGAGGGCTTGGTGCTACAGTGCTGCCACAGGTTTCTGGCTCAGAGAGCCTGGAGGTGGAGAATGACGGCTCTAATTACCCTGGAAATCGGCTAGCGATCCAAGCAAGTTCTGAAGTCCCTGCGATCCCATTGGAATCGCGTGCGTGCGTGCGAGTTCGGTACGGCGGAGCCTGGCTCCGTCTTTGGAATCTCTCTGACGCCGGAAGGCACATGCATCTTATGCGCGTGCTACCCTTGTAAGCGACACCGGCTCAGGAAGCGGCTGAAACGCAGCCATCTATACCCTCTCCAAACTCTGAAAGTCATTCCAGAACACTGTTGGCCGAATGCACCCTGGAGCCGATCCACGCCCTGCACAGCAAAGGGGCTCAACATGGTGTAGACGACGAAGGCCGCACACTTGGATGTCGATGGCCTGAACACCGTGGGGCTGCCCTGATGCAGTGGAGTGTGACATGCGAACTGAAGGTCTGCAACTTGATGCTCGATCTTCCATGGGCCTCTCGAAGATGTTGATGATCGTCCTGGCCCAGGCGGGCCCTTCTTCGTAGGAGGACTGTCCCTGGCCAGGGCACTTTTCAGAAAACACTCGAACCCCCCTTCTTTCTGGCCGTCGCACCACCTAAAACCCCAGCTTTGGCCTGCATCGGCGCAAGCTTCTGCGAGCTCTGGAACTGACTGACCGCGGACATAGTGGCCTGGCCGAAAGCAAGATTCCCTCATCGCGAGGCTCTTGAAATCCTGACTCGCCCTAGCTACAACATCCTCAACCGAAGAAGCTCTTGCTGCCCAACTGTCAAGCAGTTTTGTTTTGCGGTTCTGTAACATGTTTCACAATGCAGTACACTGGTATTCGCAGCAACAGACAGGTCGAAGAGAAAATCGGTGGCCAGCGGGCATGCTACACATCCTGCTGCCAACGCTAGCTCTTGGCTGCTAAGTAAGTTTACACTTGAGTATGGAGCATGCGCTGGCAGTTGGCCATGGGGCTGCCTGTTGACACGTCCTCGCAACTCAACACTGGGTCTGACGGGGGCCCGCGTGGGCTTTGGCTGAGGCATGTTCCCTGAGCAGCCCTTCGTCTAGTACAGGCCAATTTGACATTGACCAGATCTGATCCCAACAGGCTTACAAAGCTCGCCATCCCTCAGCGGAGTCAGGCAAAAGAACCATTGCAACTAGGACCAAAGGTGGAATGTGGGCGACTTGGGCGTCAGGTCCAAAGCCCGAACCACTCGCAGTAGCAATGACAGTAAGATTCAAAGTTTGAATACGACCGTACCCCGCGTGCGACGTCCTCGCCGAGTAAGGTACAGACGACGGCTGAAAGCTGTTGGCTGAGGGTTTCTGAAATAGTCTGTTCTGCCGTCGCTGTTCATCATCCAAGTTCATGCAACAGTTCCCATCCTTCACTCTTCATTGTTGTGTCTGAACATGACCTCAACAACAGCCAGAACGGGATCTGCCTTCTTCTTGAACGCCCGCTGGGCATGTCGATCCCAAGCCCGCTTTGGTCGCACTTCTGCAGCAAGGATCAAGGTGACACTGCAAGAGTCGTGACCGAGATTGGATTTTCCGGCTGTCTCGGGCGACTGCACACCGCACAAGTCTGTGATCCTCTCAGAAACATGACACAAATTACAAAGTGCTGCCTGCATCAGCAAAAATACATTTCGACCAACTGGACTATTACCGAAATAACATATCTCGCTAGAGAAGGTCCCGAACATGAACTGACGTTGCACAGCCGTCTTACCACAGCGCTGTCATAAGACACCTCAGTCTCTTCGAAAACTGTGACTATGACACGTTGGCCCACACGCGGCAGCTTGCTGACCAACTTTTTGATCGAAAGACATGCGAAGACTCGCCCTCCAACTAAGCTTGTCTGCAATCTGCGCTTGCCTCAGGAGCAGTACAACACCCGCTACTGTCACCGTCACTATCAGCACCATTATCACTATCACAACCACCAACAGAATGCAGCCGAGATGACTTCAGTTCCGCACATCTAACAACAACCACCACCGGCACCACCACCACTACGACTACTACCACGACCACCATCACCACCACGACGACGTCTACTACTACTGCAATCACTGCAACCTGTATACATATATATATATATATATATACCCCTTGCACCCACAGCAAAATGATTCCTAAGGAACACACAGACGACGACGACTACATACGACGACGACGACGACTACGACTACTACTACTACTACTACTACTACTGCTACCGCTACTACCGGTACTGCTGCTTGCTGCTACTGCTTCTGCCACGACCACAAAACAACACTGCAGCGCCAGCACTGAATCAGAAAGCATTGAATAAGAAATCCAGCCCCTGGATTTGGGCGAAGACGTGCTAGAATCTGCCACAAGCAAGCAAAAGGAACTAAGAAATTCAGGGTCCCCTACACCCGAAACCCAATTTCTTATCAAAATTCTTAAATGCTGCCCCCAAGACCAGAAGCGCAGGACCGTAAACACGTTACAGTAGATTGAAATTTGGGCTGAAGGCTTCGGGATTTAAAGCATCAGGTTAAAGGGGACAGGAATGAGTAAAGCACTTAGAGCCTTAAACCCTAGCGGAATCCCCAATGGACGGGTTTAGGATTCCTGCAGCAAATCGGCGAGAGTTTCGGAATTCGCCCGAAGGCCATGGGTGGAGGGTTGAAGATTTGATTATGGATTTCGCCCAAAAAGCAAAGGAAGCAAGAACTCTGGGGGCTGGAGTTCTTATTTCCTGGCTTTTTTGGTCGGCCCCAAGCCACAGGAAATGAGAAATCCAGGGGCTGGACTGCTTATTTCCTGTGTTTTGATCCCACCCAAAACCCGGGAAATAAGCAATCCAGGTGCTGGATTTCGCATTTCCTGGTTGTTACGAGCCCAGGAGGGTTGTGCAGCACAGCAAATCGGCGAGAGTTTCGGAATTCGCCCGAAGTTGTAGCAGTGTTTCTGCACAGGGTGGCGCGCTACAGTGGCCGAAAGGGGAGGCGGAGGCGGTGGAGGATCAATGCTCTGCACATCGCCATCCTCTAATAGGCGGTTGATTGCCGCCCCGGGCTCTTAGTCATGTTTGGCGGTGGACGGCGTCAGAGGCGCACGATACGTCTCCAATAAGAAATCCAGGGTACCCTAAACCTGGCGGGTGTCACGTCTAACCCTGAACAGAGCGCTATCTAAATAAGAAATCCAGGGTACCCTGCCTCGGATACAGGAGTTTCTTATCCAACGCCGTCACTGTAACCCCAGAGGAACACCCAGACAACGTCTGCTACTGCCGCGGCTTTGCCAGAAGACGGGACAATCATGATGAGCATCATATTCAATCAAACTACGAAACAGTGGTCATGTAGTGTGTGCCTTGTTCAGTGAAGGAACACTTTGGCGGAAGACGACCTGGCACAGCATTCAGCGAATGGGGGCAGTCTATTCCTGAAGCAAACACTGCCAGTGACTACAGCGAGCCACCGCTGACGGCTCAAACAGAAACTGGACAACGCAAACACCTGCTGGAAGCCGCTGTAGCAATCACATGACCCAAGCTGCAGTCCGAATCTACAACTGGAAAGCCGAGAGCCCCTTATCGTAGCATCTATCGGAGTCTATCAAGCTTGAGTTAGTTGCACAATCCGCAGATATATTGTCGCTGAGCAGTTCGTAGCTTTGCTCTAGCCCAGCGCCCACCAAATGCAACTCCAACCAGCCTCCTGAAACGATCCGAGAAAACCTACGGCACACCGAATTTTGCCGTGCCTTTACCGCGTTGCAGGTTCGTCAGGAAGACGGTGAGAAGACTGCAGGTGTCCAGGTGCGTGCCCTTTCCTCTGCAAGGTGGAACTGAAGCCGCGTCCGGTTGGCAATTCGGCTTCGATACGCTCCGAGCGAGAAACTGTGCTTCGTTGAAACGCCCAAAAACTAACCCCAGAGACTGTCTTGCAGGCAGCATTGCCGACTGACTCAAGGACTGTGTAGCCACGCTGACGGATCCGCGTTTTGGGGTCTCCCAAGATATAACAGACTGGCCTTCACCACGCCTGATCCAATCTGCAGCCCACAGCATTTCCTGAACCGGACAATGATCCAAGAACGCGCAGCTGCCCAAGTTTGTCAGATGTAGGTGGCTGCGGCTTTCACGCAATGCAAGAACCCTGTTCTCAGATTGGCGTCAGGCATTAGGCCTTAATCACAGCAGCTCGCCTCGTGCGGCGTCGTGTCTTGGCCAGTGTCGTCGGAACTGGGCATGCAGATCGTGGGTGCAGATCGTGGGCATGTCGCAACATGTGCATTGCTCTTGTGGATCTCTTGCTGGGCTGGCCAGCACGTGCGGATGCGCATGCCAGACTACATCCCACGGAGACTCGCTTTAACCTCGCCCCGCATTCCCGCATCATGACCAATGCATGTCTCCATGCTGCTGGGCTGCTGTCGTTGTCTGCAGTCCTCCCGGGGGCGAGGCTCTCAAGTTGAGGATACAGAAGCTCGAGGAGCAGACGTCTCTGCGTGTTGGCGACTCAGAAGTGTAAAGTCTACCAAACTAGATGCCGTATGATGCTGTGCTAAGCTGAATCCTCGGTGACTTGACGAGGCTCAAGGCTTAAGGCGAAAAACGCTTCTGTCCTCAAGAAGATCCTTGTTCAGGCTGCCGCTCAGCGTGTCCTTGCCCATGAGATCGAAGACCCCTGGGCAGATGCAAGGGCCTTCTCTGAGGATCGAGGAATTGACGAGGCGTGACATGTCGGGCCTAAGTCGCGCTCAGTACTGGAACAGCTTGCCCGGGCCTTGAAGCAGCTTCCAGTCTCGTTCACGCCGCTTCCTCGCATGAGCCCCCGTTCCGGCAACCCCTCTCAAAACACAGGAGACCATGTCACGAAGCCATCGCAAGGGCAATACAGCTCCTTCAGCCGGGGCACTTGCATTGCGGCAAAAGGTGTCACGATATGCTACACAGCTACGTGGCTAGCGAGCTGCAGCTACAGTTCCATCCCTCCATCCTGCACTCCCTCCGTCCATCCGCCCGTTCCGTCCATCCGTCCGTCCGTCCATCCGTCCATCCATCCATCATCCATCATCCATCCGTCGTACATACATACATACATACGTAATCATACATACATGCATCCAGACATGCAGTTATACATACAAGTACGAGATGCATAAATATCGAACTAAACAGATGAACAAACAAGCAAGCAAGCAGACAAACAACCACACATATGCACATTATACATATGTGCAGTCATTTTACGTATGTACATTTGTATGTATGTATGTATGTATGTACGCACATGTTCGATATGCGTAAGCACCGTTGCTAGATGTCCATGTGTTATCGGCTGTCTTCTTCCCTGTGGTCTCGTCTTCAAGCCGGCGCTAAGGAATGTGTGCGTACCCACATAGCAAGATGGAGTGCACGCTCAAGAGATTTTCGCGTTTCCGAGCCATAGCTGCTGCCAGGCTGCACATAGAAGGCGACAATCCCTGCGAACTGCTTGTGCGTCACCTCAGTATCTTTGACGGTTGGATGCCGGCCATCCCTGCACTGCAAAGACGTGCAAAGACTCCCCCAACGTGGTGAGATGATGGGTTGCACTTGGCCCCCCCCTCCCAAACACTATAAGACAGCTACGGGGTTCTTGCGCTAGCAGCAAAGGACGACTGAGTTACAAGCAGAGGGGATGGCCAAGCACACGGGCGGCTCCGGTGCATATTTTGGACTCAAATCGCGCTCCTTCCGCAGTCGGGCTTGGGCCAAGTCCGCGCGGGACACCGAGCCGAATTCGTCTCTCAAGTCCTGCACGGCCGCACTATTCGGCTCCTCGGGGCCCCTTGGTGTCGTCTGGAAATCAGGCCATGCCAAGGGGTGGCATCATTTGTCAAAAGCTGGCAGTCGTTCTCTAGCACGGTGCCAGGCGCACTCAGGGCGCGCATCGTTTATGCGGTCGCTCGAACTTCCGCTACAGTGTCGTGCGTTTTTTGGGTGCAGCACGTTGTTTTTCGCCTACAGCCTGCCGACTGCGCTCCAGCCACAGTGTGATACTTTGAAGTTTTGCGGTGCCGCCGTAGCCGCCACAGAATCCAGAGCAGCCGAGCTGCATGCGTGTCAGGCCAAGTTTCCTGACCCCATGCTGAAGTCACCTCAGAGATTGATGTCACGCACTTTCGCCTTGCCACAGCCTTGTCTCAAATCCCTCGTCTAATCCGTTGACTGATTTCAGGCCAGGCACGGCATCGTTGATGGCAAAATCCAAATAGATACCCAAAAGCATCTTGAGCATGTGAGACACATCCGCCCTCAGCTTGCCAAGCGCGACTCCAAGCAAAGCCGTTAGTGCAGGCGGTTCTGCCTGGCCCGATTAACTCTACAGGCAAAGTCACAACATAATACGATCCCTTCGTAGGTGCCAGCTTTAGAACATCGTTGAACGGAGCCGATGCTTTGGCTGGGATGCCACGAAAGCCTCACAAGCACAGCCGTAAGAAGCTCCTAATAGGCGGCAGACCACAGGCTCATGCAGGGCTCATACAGTTGGGAATCAGGGATGGCCCCAGGAACATAGTGGTGGTGGTGGGTGGTGGTGGTGGTGGTGGTAGTGGTAGTGGTAGTGGTAGTGGTAGTGGTAGTAGTAGTAGTAGTAGTAGTAGTAGTAGTAGTAGTAGCAGTAGCAGTAGCAGTAAACCCCTTCACGATACTGTATTGGTGTAGCTGATCCCCCAAGCCAAACATCTGAGGCCGCAAATACCAAGAGCTGACCAAGGATCACAAGAAGCTGCATCTCACCGTGTACCATGTGCTCGTGCGACTGGCACAATTCCTCGATCTTCTGCATCTGCTCTGGATGTATCCTTGCTGATTGCAGTGAATTTGTGGGAATTGGCGTTCGGGCTACCGTGCAACGTCATGGTCACGGATCTGTTTCGGGAATAACAGCCAGAATGGATAAAGAGAAAGCCAGAAGGTTTCCTGAACATCTGGAGCTTGCTTTCAAGCAAAGTGGGCATTCGGGGAAAGCCAAGGAAGTAACAACCTGTCATGGTAATGAAGCCACCTACATCCGCTTGTTATGACTAGTATACTGTCACGCATTACCAAAGCTCGGCTGACTTAGGATGTTTATCAACAGCTGTTTGGTTTAGGGGTTCGCGGCTTGAGGTGTGCGATCCCAAGACCCTAAAGCCCCAGGTCAAGAAGCACAGAACTCCAAACCCTAAATACTGAAACCGAACTCCTGAACCCCTAAACCCCTTACTCTAAAATCCTGAACCCAAGAACCCAAGTTAGTGTCCAAACCCCGGAACCCCATTCAAAATATTGAGGCCCCCTTGCCTGGGCTCGGGTTCAGAGGTTTGCGGATTTAGGCATGTCTGGCCGTATAAGGGTTTTCGGGTTAGTGTTTTCGGGTCTCGGGGTTTTACAAAGATTGAAGGTTGTGGGATTGTAGGGCTTTCGGGGTTTGAGGATTTTAGTGTATCGGGCTTTCGGGCTTTGGCCAACCCCTGCAATCAAGCTATGTCGACATTGCCAGCTCCAAGTAGCCGGGCCAGGTGGCACTGGCGACCTTGACAAGTCTATACAGAGAGGTTGCAATTCGCTTCAACAGTGCCTCTAGTTCTTGGGGTAAAACGGCTCGAGATAACGGCAGAAATCGGAGAGGGTCTGACGGGATCGGTCACTGCGACATCTGCTGCTTGCAGAAGAGCAACCCAACTTGAGGAATTCCTCAAGAGTCAGGTCCTTCTGGTTGACTTCCTCCCATCGCCAGTTCAGCAGTCAGGTTTTCAGCAGCCTACATGTGCCCATGGCCGGTGGTGTCACAAGCATCTACTCCTCAGCCAGGATGTGGAAGATCCCGACCTGGTCAAAATTCAATGGGAAAAGCACTTTCTCGAAGCAAAGAAACACGCTGCGTGCAGATGGGCAAGAAAAAAAGCACTGACATAAACCATCTCCTCGTCCGGTGCTGCCAAGATGCGTACAACAGGGCGTCAACCACGCGACTAGCGGGCAATATGATCTTTCCCTGTCATCGACAGGTAAACGGAATCCCATGACTTTCTTGAACGAAACCGGGCTGTAAGCTGACATCAAGCAGCTGCACTATGCTGCATACATCTCGGCCTGCATGTCACTAGACTGGTCGCCCTTCTCCGCGAAGGTGAAGTAAGCGAGGCGCAGGTCTTCAATCAGCATCCTAGGCGTATCTGGGGTGGGTCCTAAAAAACCTGTCCAGGGTGCCGGCGACCCCTTCTTGCAGGGACGACAATCCGTACATGTCCACGCAAAGGCGGAGCGCTAGGCGTAGTACCGGGTTAGCAGCTTTGTGCATCTTTAGGTAGTACTACGCACTACTGCTGTCCTAATCATGCCTGCCGTTCTCATGCAAAAATCAAGCCAATATGATTCAGGCAACTGAGAAGCCAAAAGTGCAGTTTCAGTCTCTTACAAACTGCTCTGCGTCGAACCCTGCTTGCCCAAAGAACTCGAAAAGGCTCCTGTAGTTCACTATGTTCATTCTACTGTGCCGTTTGAATGTTGCACGTGCATCTGAGTGCAGTGAAACCCATGAAGCTTCCAAGCCATGCCGCTGATGATGATTCTTGTGATACTGTGAGTGTGCTGTTGTTATCGTTCGATGTCCCGTCGCTCTGCCATGCCTGTGGTGCTCATGTCGATGGTGGTACTGATCATCTTGATGGTGAATTTCAGGATAGCCGAAATTTTGAGGACAAGAAAATAATCACCGTTTGCTGATGTTGACGGTGATAGCTACCCATGGTGATGATTGTTCATGCTGCTGCTGAACCTGCCAGTGTTTCAGGCTTGCACCGTGCTCTTAATCTGCGCAGGAAAAAGAATTGGCGCGAACTCCACGAAATCCGAAATGTATCGCTGCCACTGACTTTCGGAGCTACCATGGCGTTGACAACATCGGACAACTTTCATCATTCAGCTGATCTCCTAACAGATCCACACATCTGATCGCAAGCCGTATATGCTCCGCTATCCTCTCTTGTTTCCACCACCACTGCTGCTACAGCAGCGATAACTGCCACAGATACTACTGCCGCCACTTTGCCTGGTATACTACTGCTAGAACTATCAACAATCCACTATACACATCTGCTACCACTACCACAACTCCTACTCCTACTCCCACTATTACTACTACTACTACTACTACTACTACTACTACTACTACTACTACTACTACTACTACTACTACTACTACTACTACTACTACTACATACTACTACTACTACTACTACTACTACTACTACTACTACTACTGCTACTGCCAACGCTACTGCTACTACTACTACTACTACTACTACTACTACTACTACTGCTGCTACTACTACTACTACTACTACTACTACTACCAATACTACTACTGCTACCACTACTATAACTACCACTACTTCTAATCCTGCAGATGCTGCTGCTACTACCACGACTTCTTCTACTCCTACTGGCACAGCCACCATCACGACTACTGCTGCCGCTGTTGCTCCTCCTCCTCCTCCTCCTCCCCCTCCTCCTCCTACTACCACTACTACTACTACTACTACTACTACTACTACTACTGCTACTACTACTAAACAACGCCGAAGATGTCTGCTTCGACGACGGCAGCTCGCATTGCCACTAACAGTATTGTGACGTCTGCAAGTCTCGTCTTCGTACCGGGTCTTGCCGGATTTGTACGGCGTGCACAGTGATTGTGATCTTGAGAACCGTTGCTGCCACAGTAGTTGTTTTCAATGTCATAGTGGGTTGTGGAGCCTATGCATGCCAGCTGCCCCTGAATTTCTGAGTCATGGTTTCGTTAACCCGAAGGTGCCGACTCTACTCTACGCTCTGATGAAATAGAAAGCCGAAGGTCTTGGGCAGCTCAGGGAGGTAGTCAGCGTCACCGGCACTCCTGGCAGCATCCTACCCTCGCACAGCCTCTTGCAGACCTTAGGTTCTCCAAACTGCTGCTCAGTGCTCGGTACGCTGGTACAGATATTCAACTTCGAGTTTGGTCACTTTGGTTCCGCAGTCTACCCGGTACGGGCTTGGCTGGGGCTGGGGACGTCTGTCTGAAGGCAGTGGTGAATCGCTGATTGCCCCAACCTGGCCCTGCAGCTTCTTCCATCTAGTGACGATGTATATCCACAGCGAATTTCCGAATTTTTCGGAGCATTGGCGCGCGAGCCCGGGCCTGAAAAAGCCTTGTTCACCCAGGGCGCGAGCAAAGTGCAGCTCCATGATCCTGGCAACGCTGGCTTAGCACGTTACGGTGTGTTCCCGGGCTTCCCGGGGGGCCTTGTCTGCAGCTGAGGCAGCCGTTTCAACTCATCGCGCTCGAAGGCTTCCTGAAGGGCAGAGATGAGAGCAGAGAATCCCCTTTTGAGATGGGATTCACTTAATTTAAAGGATATAAAGGAAGCCCAAAAAAAAGCCGAGGAACTCCCAGGTCAATGGGGCTGCACAGCACGGACTTGTTGAAGCGCGTGACACCGTTGTATTGGTAAGAGCCAATGGAGGCATTGGAGGTGTATGTGGTCGGAGGCAAGTCCTCCGGGGTTTCGGATGGAATCATCAGCTCCTGCGAACACATGCAGGGCAAAAGGGCACCAGAATCAGTGCTTGTAAGTTGCAAGACTCAAGGGCGTATATAATGCAGCGTGTGCTTCCCCCAATTCAATTTGACTGAATGCGCTGTCTCACTTCCCATCTGCGTTGCGATCAAGCTGGCTTCTTGTGAAATATCTTCATGAGCTGACTAGGACGATAAAACGGAGGACGGAGGAGAATAAAGCCACCAAAACCGCGACAGCATTCCCACATCATAGTGGCTCTTTGCGTATCACTTGGACATGCAGACTGCCAAGTGCCTCCTCTTCCGAGTCTTCTACTTCTGTGGGCTGGACATCTGATGGCGACACCTGCGCTGAGCTGATTTGTTGGGAGGAGGAGCCACGAATCCGGAGAAGGGCTGTTTCCGGGCGATCTCTGCACGAACAAACCCTACTGGACAGGATGACTTGAGTAATGATCCCTGGTTTGCACTCCGCCATGCAAACTCCATAGGATTCCATAGGGTATGGAAAGAACAGGCCTCACGTCCTAGGTGGCAAGCGGCCTTTCCACAAATCGGGCCGTGGCAAGAGTCCGTCTTAATGGGCGCTGCGGGTTTGGGACCCCGGCCTCGCGTCTCATGAGGTGGTCCGTATCGATGTCTTCCATGCTTAACTCCGACGGCCGCCGATTCTTCTCCTCAGCTGGATAGCTGAACGAGCGAGATCCTAGCATACGCAAGTTGTCGCGAGGCCCAAAAAGCAGACTACGTGTCGTGCAACAGGCTCACTCAGGAAGCTTTGCTGCCTCGGATCCGATAGTCGATGGAAGTGGTGCTCGCCTTGCTGCCGCATCACGGCCTCCGCTAGGTTTTCTGCCGTGGAAAGGTCTGAGTGCTCGGTTGAGACTGCATGGACTGCTTTTGCACCTCCAAACCCCATTCCCCACAGCTGCTCTCGACTGGCAGGCCTTGGAGATCTCCATCATCATCAGAGGATGCTCGTTGGTCATCTTCCACCATTGCTCTTCTGTCCAAAACAAGACCTGGCAAAGTCCCAAGCAATGTGAATTCTGATCCTGCGCTCACACGTGCACAGAGACACTCAGAATCCTGCCCCTGCTAGATCGAGCCAGACTCTGACATGAGTTCGCGATTATGTATTATTTCTCAGGAAAATTCACTGACATTCTTGCAGAGTTCACGCAAATTGTTGTACTTGCTTTGTGGCTCTCCCGATCCCAGTCTCCAACTGCGATCAAACATGTTGCATACAGGTCGCGCACAACTTCGTTACTGGGCAAAAGCCGTGACAGACTGTGTGGCTGCCAATTAGAGCTTCGTTCTTGTCTCTAGTAGGCACATGCATCCAGAGTTCTGATTCTTGCAATCACAGAAGGATCGACCTCTCCATCTTCCACGGCAAGGGCGAAGCTGGAAGAAGGCTGCCCGAAGATCGTCTTTTCGTTCACGAACCAGCCCTGCCTGGGAGTCTTTTGCAGGTTTTCGGGGATCTTCAGCTCGGGTTACTTTGCGCCTGTCGTTCCGAATGGCGGCAGGCCAAGACTTCCCAGGACCAGCTAGTTAATGATACGGTTGGTGATATAAATCCTGCATTATCCATAATAGGGAATATACCATAATTCCCATAGTCTAGGGGCATTAACAAGGTAGTGCAGGATTTAGGATTTATGTCATCAGCCGTAGTTGCAGGAACCTGCACACTCCTGCCAACTCACTGGCGCAACGTACGTCTCGCCTCAGGATGACCCGTGGCTTCTTCCAGCTGGCGTGCACGTCCTGCCCCAGAAATCTTGCTTCTCTCCCGCCAGACTTCGTGTTGTCGTGCTTAGTAAGCACATGCAGAGATGACAGGTTGGCAGCATGAGCTTTTTCGGGTGTTGCGCTTGCCGAGAGCCATGGAAGGCTGCATCGGGACTCGAGGTGTAGGCTGCCCCGACGAAAGCTAGGAGGGTGCAAACGCAGATCTGCTTGCGACTGCAGGACATTCGCGGAAGCATGTCGATTGCAACGGTGCGTCTTCCTAGCGTACTAGCAATCAACTGAGCGGATCGTCGTGACAGGAGCCTGATGATGTTCACAGAAACTGTTTCATGTTGCATCCCGATAATTAAGGGGGTTGCTTCAATAGTTCATATTTTTATTTTAGGTCCCTAGCCTATGAAGTTTCGTAACTTCTGAAGTCGTTGGGGAATTTTCACTGCCGTCCACCCTCATGGATTCGAGATGCATGTGAAAACCAACATAATGGGCCAGTTTCCCAAACCGCAGTTCTATGGACAAGTGACATGCCCAGAATCCGACCGAAATCACACACAAAAGGGACAAAATGCCCGTGGAGCGTAGTTTTTTGCACGTCTGTCCATGATGGTATCTTGATCCGGAACTTCATCAAGGATGGCGACGGCACCAGAGTGAATAAGGTAGAGTGGTCTGTGCTGGTCGCCGGGCACGCACAGCATGGTCTTGAAACCTGGCCGGGAGCTGCTCGAACGGAACCATCTTCCCATGAACCAAGCATTGCAAATTTGGGTGCAAGCCGAGCTTTGCCTTGCAGTGTTAGTCGGAGAATCCAGCCGAACACCAGCAACAAACAACAGTTTGAGGTACAATGGTGGCTGAACACTACCTGCCTGACCTGCCCTAGGTGCTGGCACGGGAAAGACGTTCTTTGTCGTGACGCTACAAGCACCCCGCAACAAGCAGCCCCGCGCACCTTTGATCGGCAACCGGCTGCAGTAGCGCCAAGGGCAGCCCAACCGAGCTCCGTCGGACAGGAAGACTTCCCTGTCCACGAAAGGTTGCAGCAAAGTGCATGGCCGCATGGCCCACTGTGGTATCTGTGTTCCGCTGGCTAACAATGCAGAGGCCCATGTAGCTGACAAATTAGCTGCTTCTTGATGCCCTCCCATCTCGCGGCGTGGAGCTGATGCGAACCAAGGCTCCGGAAAGGCTCAAAGTTCACCCGTTGCAGCATCAGGGCCCTGTCTCGCCGGAAAGCCTCGGTTGAAGAGGGGATCACGGTCGAGAACCAAACGAACGCACGACGACCCAATCCTCTGAAGCATTCTGAACCCGACTGCTGGAGACGACTCAAGAACGCCCTCAACTTCCATCATCTGAGGGACGGGATGGAGGTTCAGCCACTCGTCCTGCTGGTTCATCTTGTACTTCAGAATGCGCTTCTCCAGGTGGGTCATCGCCTCAAATTCTCGGACAGTCAAGGATGTAGGGGCCACGGCAGCCCAGCTGTGTGGCGAAGGCAGCTCGGGCTTGTTGCTCCAAAGTCTAAAGCAGGCAGACTATCAGATTTGCAGTGGAAATAACAAGCAGCCTGAGCAACATCAAACCAGGCTTGCGATCTGTGAACTTCTAGATCTCTCTGCAGTGCGTACGATTTAGGATCGCGGGCTGTCAGTGGCATGTCTTCATCTGGAGGTGAGGCTGTGGCATTGTCCAAGTCTTCGAAGCGATCCTCCGTAGACGCCAGGATGCTTCGCACTCGCAGCTCCTCGAGAACACTTCTAGCACAGGTCAGGCGAAAGTCTTCAGAGAGACACCTGCTTCGTCGCCCCTCGGATTCCGGGAAGGATTCGTCTCGATATCTTCAGAACTGCATGCTCTCTCTCTGACCCATTTACTTTGCGTGTAAACAGGTTTTGATCAGAATCGGCCCTGAGCTGCAGCACCAGTTAGCACAGGGCAGTAGAGGAAGTCATCGGTGGTGAGATCGTGGCAGTGGCAGTTGTGGAGGTGCGTGCTGGTGATGATGTTGCTGTTAGCTCCCATCTCGAAGCCAACGGCAGAAAGATTTTAGCAAGGCAAGAGCCTCGGCCAAGTCATCCTTGATGTTGCACCAGATCACACGGATTCCGCGCCCTTTTGCCTGAAACAGAGAGCTTCAGAAGACGGGTGCACCCGGCGTGGCCACAAGGTCCACCATATTAAGGAAGCCAAGCACTAGCGAAATAAAAATACTTACATCGAGATTCTCGTATCCCGAGACCATGCCCACACACTCAGCACGATGAAGGCTTGGGCCGGTATGGGCTGAGACTTTTTGGGGGAATCTCACGGCTTCAAGGCGCCTTTCGGGTCAACTTGGCCATGCTCATCGCTCCAGAGGCATCCATTCCTGTGCTATAGAACCATGTTCGCTTGCTGGGGGTCCGAATATTCTTACGCTGAGCATGCATCTACCGCGGCATGCATGCACGAACGAGCACACATACACCCATGCAAATGGATGCATGCCTGCCAATCACAAAGCCTGACGATGCATGCGCACATACGGTCAAATATGCATGCATGCATACGAACACACGTACGTGCGTGCGTACGTCTGTGCATGTGTGCAGGTATTTAACTATACTTGTTGATCTTTCGCGTGTCTGCTTGAGTGCAAGTGTGCCCATCAGGACAAACATGCAAGCGCGCGGCATCTGGGTGTAGCCTAGGGATCATGTGTACGCATGTGTATAAATAACACATACGTGCATGTGTGCGTATGGCGACACGGCCGGGTGCTGTCAGAGAGAGCTTTTGCCACACTCGCGCACTTCTGATGTAATTCGTCTAGTGACCCTGGAGCCTGGCATGCTCAGATTCTGAGTGGCGCCGGACCTCTGGATCTACATACGCCGTGCGCACACAAGCATGTACATACACACGCACACACACACACAACACATGCACACCGATGGGCGGCGAGCATGCGTGCAGGACTGGCTTGACCTGTTTAAGCATCTCAGAGTCTCAGAGACTATCGACTATTGTTCATGATCATGACTACTGAGATTCCGGTGTTTTGTTTTGCTGGAGAGAGAAGCCCACAGAAGCTGGTCAGAACGAGCTTGTGGCATGACGCAAGCAGCTTCGATTGGTGCGACCTGGTCTCCATCGAGCGCCGAGCCGTCGAAGAGCAGGAACTTGAGCCTCCTGTATGGAGGCACCTCCGGCGCAATTGAAAGAAGCTTCTGAAAACTAGGATTTTTTGGTATGGCTGTTGTGGCCACTTTATCAGGCATCTGGAACTCCGACTGAACAGTCGTCAGAATTTCAATCTCAGAAGTCTCTGGCACGAGAGACACTATCAGCTGATCCTTGTGCAACTGACAACATCTGCTCGAAGGAATGTGGACACATCGCACCTGATTCTTGTCCTCATTCTGGAAATACTCCTCCACGGACCGCATGACGGCCACGCAAGAACTGAAGAAGACGTAGCCCTTGAGGTTCACGATCCTTGACAGCAGGGAGTTGTACCGTGTGAATTTTTGCCGAGGTAGGCGAGGCTACTGTGGGCTGCCAACACACCTCGCAAGACATCGAACCTTTGCGGATTCCCAAATGCTTGGCCCCAGAACATCCAGCTCAGCTTTCGACTTCTCGCTTAACTTTATGAGGAAAGCCATTTTGCATATCGGAACCCGATCCTTCAATACCTGTCGAGTCCTGCGTTCTGCTTGTATGAACTAACTATGCACGCGTTTTCTTACTAATATACAGCTTTGCTGTGCAAGACGGCTCGATCCTCTAAAGAACCAGCCCTACTTCAATTCCCAGTGCAAGCGAAGGGCAGGATCCAAGCAGATGCGATGTGCATGAAACTCTGGTGACCGACCTTGGCGAAGAAGGGTGAACTTTGGGCTAGTGGCATTCTGACAACTTTACTCGCTAGCATTCTGCAGCTCTTTGACAGACAGAATGGCACGTGCTCGACATGTCCTAAGCTTCTCTTGGTAAGTCTTTCTCGCAGGCACCTAGCCTGTCCCAGCATTTCCCTCCTGTTTCTCACACTGGCCTCACCGACGGGCCGCTCGCGTGTAATCACCTGCGGGCGGTCTGCATTGCAGTCTACGGCCACGGAAGAACGATACACGCGAAGCCCCCACCAGACTTTTCTACTGCCCTCCACCGGAAAAGCATGAAGAAGGGCAAAGCTGAAGAGCGGCGCTGAAGGGTACAGAACAACGTCGAGCACTAAAACACGTCGGAAAATCAGGCTCCTCTTGGGGGAAAGCTCTTGCCGGATCCAAAGCTCTGTTTTGATTCCAGATGTCTTAGACTGATGGTCTAGACAGTTCCCGAAGGCCGACGAACTCATCTTATCTCGCCTGGTCTCCGCGCTTGGGTCGGCCATCCAAGGAGGGCACACGTGCGTACCTCGGGCATGTGTGCGTGCTGAGTCTCCGACTCTGCCTCGGGCTCTATAGACCTGTGGCCTCTGGTGACACTCGGAGGTTTGGATGACTCCCAGGCACTACCGAGAGGACCGAAGCACGAGCAGCTCGTGTCTAGAGTGGCTCTGTGGCCCGAAGGCTCTGCTACGGCTGCTACGTTGAGTTTAAAGTCTATGGTTTATTCGGGAGGGTTTCCCACCGATTGACATCTTTGACGCCCAGCAGCTTGCCAATGAAGGCAAGTCCAGAAAGAATCCTGAGATCGGGCTTGCAGCGTTGACTGCTTCGTTGTGTGGGCTAGGTACATGTATGTCCAAACGCGAGGGGTCGGAAAAAGAACAAAGTGTGTGAGAGGATTGCAGCAGAAAAGCGTGGTATCAAGAAGCTCAACCGAAGTGGACGGCACGGCATGCAACAACTTTACATCGATGCGATGATCGACTTTGAACTGGTTGTTGAAGGCTGATTGGTGCTATGCTATGTCGATCTGTTTCAGCATGCTCTGAGTGACATTGACGTGAACTTCCTTCGCGACCACTGCCGTCAGGTCACAAACCCGCAACGACGGCCCAAATCAGCTGGCCTGCCGCAATGAACACAATGAGGATCACAACCTGACAGTTTCGAGTAGCTCGGACGTGGACTGACATACCTCGTCCCGTCAAGATTGGTATGGATGTCCCTCCTCGAACACTGAGCTTGGACTGGTTGCTTCTAAAATTTCTACACAGTGACATCAGCTCCATCAGTACTGTAATAGAGACTATGACTATGCTACTCACACTACGACTTGCAATCACAACTTCCGAAGCCCGCCCTGTAGCAGAATCGGTTGTCGAGGCCAGGGGGCGATCTCCATCCACTCACTGAAATGCAGGAACTTTCTGGATCCCCACATGTTGTCAGTGACAAAGCCAGCACCAGCGAAGAACAGAAGCGCACTTAAGAACCTCAGAATATCAAGGATGTTGCTGAGACCCAACTTGTTCTTGTCTTGTTGCCGTGGCTACGAGCGGTAGTTCTCAGTTAAGTGGCGGTGTTGCTGCTACGTTGCTGCTGGAGGTGGAGGTGGAGGTGGTGGAGGTGGTGGAGGTGGTGGAGGTGGTGGAGGTGGTGGAGGTGGAGGTGGAGGTGGAGGTGGTGGTGGAGGTGGTGGTGGTGGTGGTGGTGGCGGTGGCGGCGGCGGCGGTAGTAGTAGTAGTAGTAGTAGTAGTAGCAGTAGTGGTAGTGGTAGTAGTGGTAGTAGTGGTAGTAGTGGTAGTAGTGGTAGTAGTGGTGCTCGTGCTAGTGCCAGTGCCAGTACGAGTACGAGTACGGTACTGCGACTGCTAATGATGCGGCTACTGCCACAGATAACTACTACACCTGCTGCTACTGCGGCTGCTGCTGCTGCTACTATTGCTCCTGCTGCTGCTCCTGCGACAACTACTACTAGTACAACTACGAAGACAGTCTTCAAGCAATAATAACCAGGACAGAAGCAAGTGCTCTTTTTCCAGCACTGATGCTACTACGACCAAGACTGCTACAACCTTGAAAGTGTGATCATCCTCCAGACTGGATGACCAGATACTATTTGACTGGTATTTGGTAATAGCGCTTAGGCTTAGATAGGGATGACGGTTCAAACACGACTCAGAAGATCTCTATACTTCTGACACATGACTGGGAAGATGCACTGTACTGATCTGCATCATCTCGGGTCCGAGAGGTCTGTCGGTCAATCCGATTCAATGCGTTTTGAACAGGGGTGGCAATTAAACCCATGTTCCAAACAGTACTTCGACGCACAAACTGTTGGGCCTGCCGTGCCTACTGGGCCCACTGCTGTGCTTACCACACGACCACGATGACGACTACAACTCCTACCGCTGCTGCTTCGGCGACTAATTAGGGCAGGATTCTTGGCCACTTTGCGCGTGACCACAACTGTTGCAGGCAGACACCCCCTATACCAGGAATTTCACTTTTGATAGTTGCTGGGCTTCGTGCTCCCAGTCCATCCTTGCTGCGATTCGTTTATATTCCTGTCCCGTGTGGAGTCTTCGCAACTGCTCATGCTGGACTGCTGTCTTTGGCGTCGTGGTGCAACTACAGTCGCCGGGAGTCGATCAATTACTCCGGCATTCTGGGTGGTGAAAGAGGGTTTTGCCGGCTTTAGCTCTGAGAGCCTGTCATTGAAGGCATCGGTGCTGAAGAACAGCAGCGACGAGAATATCTATATGTATGTAGTTATACATATATATATATGTATATGTATATGTATATGTATATGTCACTGTACGACACTGCTAACTCGCATGCTTGAAGGTAGCGCACCTGCCTGCTGTCATTGTTCGGATATATCAACTCGGCACTTCAAGCTTCGTTCGCAAATTTGGACCCCAGCATCCCTCACCTGCACCTCTGAATCGTCACCACCTGCCCATGTGCTGGTTCATCCGAGACTGCCCACCCACACTATGAAAGCAAGCCAGTGACAGCTTCGGAAGGTAGTTGAAATGCTCCACAGTGCTGAAGTAGGCTGCACCACAAAACCTCGCAGGTCATCACCGGCAAAGCCACTGGAATCATGAAGGCAAACGACTCGCATGGTGGAGCCGTGCTACAACTGTGATGGTGTGTGCTGAATGACGACATTGCATGGAGACCGCTCCAAAACAGGATCACTGCAAAATCTTGCTGGGGTCGGCGCACGGCATATATCATTCCAGCTCTGCGGTCATGTGCATTTCGCATAACTCCATAGCCTTGGCTCGGCAAAGCATTCTTTGGCACAGCTGCCTTTGTGAAACGCGCTGGTATGACTCGTCCAATCCCGATTCGATGCAGCTGCATCGGGTCGGTGAAGGAACCGTCACCGGACATGAGAACCCCTCTCGAAAGACACGGGACTGATGACGTTGAACTTCAGCTGCATGTAGCCAGTCGCCGCACCGCAGCATGCCAGAAGGTAGTTGAAGCAGCCGAAGATGAATGCTTCACTATCAGTGGAAACCTTCCTGAGCAAGGATTTCGGTGGTCATCTGACAGAGCAAGCATAGCATTGCTCATCAAGGTCTACATCTGGGGTTGTACAGCTGTTGAGCGTATGCAACCGTTCAGACACGCCTGACATTTGCATGTGACAACTTGGCGCGCCCCGGGCACGAAGCATGATCTCTGTTCGCAGCGACAGTACTTGGCCAACTTGCAGTGACTACAGCTGAATGCCTACTCAACAGTTGGGCAGTTGACTATGCGCCCATTGCCAAGGTTCAAAGGGAGCTTGCTTTCAGTGGCGTGGAGCTTGAGGACACAATCCTCAGATGATTGTACACGCCGTGGGCAATCTGTGCAGAAAACATAAGAAAGCTTACAGCAGTGTTGAGCATGGCGAAGTTTGCACATGACTCGGTGTTCGTAATCGTTCCCGGAGAAGCAGGACAAGAATCGCACCAGCAGCAGCCTGCTTATTGCAGGTAAAGGCATACCAGAAAAGACGTCTCAAAAGCTGCCATGCGTGGAGTAAACGGGATCCGAGAGTCCATGGTCGAAACGACCATGAACACGGCAAGATTGGGCAATGTCGTCAGCCATGCGCTGAAGTTGATGTTCGACAGGGACCTGAGACTGCAGGGCAAGAGAAGGTCCCAGGTATGATGCTGGGGAGCACAAAGAGCGGAGAGCCTAGGCTGAGGCATGCGAGCTATGCGAGCTAAGTGGCCCAATGCTGTCCACCCAGACAAGGTAGAAGGGCTCGTTCTGCACTTCCGGAAACAGCCACCCTGAAACTGGTGTGAAGTAGCACGAAAGCAAGCTGCAGTAGTTTCATTCATGCGCTTCCCAACCGGACATGGACGCGAGCACTTGCCGTGCACCCACGGCTCCCGGCTCCCACCTGCATCGCGCACTGTTGCAGGGGTCTGGTTTGTCCCGGCCACAATCCTGGGCTGTGCAACAGGGATGCATGTGCTGGAAATCCGGGCTCCGGCAGAGCGTGGCTACTTCTCTGTGCCTTCTAGGATCCCCCAGAAGATTGCCAAAGGCAGCAGCAGGCCCAGAGGCATCATGATGGTGGGATTCCCGATGTGAAGTGCCTGCAGACAGAGTGGGAGTCTGTGTTTGCAAGCTGGGGAATGGTTCGAAAAGACTGTCTTTTTGCCACTTCACTCTCTCTTCAAATCAATGCAGTGAATGCCGTGGACGACCCTGCGTATATTTCGCACTGCTGGGAGGCGCCTTGCAGAAATAGAGGGCGATTCCGATGAAGGCGGCAGTGAAGAACTGCCTGGGGTCGAAATCGCAGAACTTGAGCGCGTAATAGAACACCTTGTAGCCGACACAGGCCAGGAAGGCCTGCACCACAAACAGACACAAACATCAAAAGATCATCTCTACTCAGCCTGCCCACTTCCCTTGCATCCGACTGCTTGGCGTGTCCCAGGTTCGGCGATCGGTTGAGGTCAATACGATTCCGACTTGTCTTTGACATGTAACCTCAAGTCTTGAAGGCACACCGCTCCTCGGAAATGCTGTACGGCATGTAGCTGACGTATCGGGTCAGCTTCAGCTTGCCGAGGACGGTCCAGACGATGGCTGAGAGCGTCAGGGCCAATGGATTCTTGCGATAAGCCGGCTTGTCCCACGTCTAGAGTCTGTTCGTGCCTTTCACCCTCCACTTAAAACTTCCTGCGGCACCTCGGACCTCGACCGCAAAGACAAACTGCGCTTTCAACACATCACGACATCCCCAGCTATCGACGAGCTACCCAGCAATAGTGTCGAGAAGGCCACTGAGAAGATAATTGTCGCACGGAGCTGCGCGTGGTACGACTCGCACTCCTTGCAACAAGCAGATTATGCCACCTTGCATGACAGAGACATCGCAGAGTGCGTGCGCAGCACCGAAGACCCCACAACAACATGCACGAAAACCCCGCTGCTCGTGCTCGTCCTGGGGATAAGCGAGAAGATGGTCACCTGGGTTGAGCTTCTTGGTCGGACCTCCGACCCTCTTGACAGAGACACCCTGAAGCAATTCCAGTGCAAAAAATGAAGCCGTGTAGCCCCTGCAGAAATACTTGGTGGGGTCTTCCTTCTTCAGCAATCTGCCAGACGAATCCGTGTAGCTCGCCTCAGGACAGCAATAGCTCTCCATTTTTGGGGGGATGGGGGAGCGGGGTCTGAGACTGAGTTTCCATAATAATGCCTCATCAACATAACTTCCTCGCGACGGAGGGGGGGTTTAGGGACTCTCCGGGAGCGATGAAGCTACAAGGCTTGGAGGACCAGTTTGGCAGGATTGCCAAAGGCGAACTGCCTGCGAGGATGGGCCCATGCATCCCACAGCAGAACACGTGTAAAGAATGATGTGCACATGGATTTAGATCACCGACAGCGCTCCCCCCTCCACCCGCAACACGTTCCCCAATGCCCCAACCCTGAGCCTGACAGGGGAAGACAGGGAATTCTGTTTCGACAGCCCCGCTAGGAACCTCCAGTTCCAGTTTACAGGGGGACAGCAGGGACCCCCGAAGCACAAGACCGGTGAGGGGAGCAGGCAAGTTCCTGCTGCTGCTGAACCTGGCCCCCTGACTCGCACGGGTGGTTGTCAAAATTAGGGTCCCTTTCTGGGTACCCTAAATATTAGGTGCCGTAATATATTAAGGACCCAAAAAGGGACCATAACTTTGGCAACCACCCAATATGCATCGTAGTGCTCGAAACCATCCAAAGCCCTATAGGTCGCTGACGGAGTCTTCCAGGCCGAGCTGTCGAGTGAGATCCTGGCAGAGTTTGGGATTTAGGGAAGGCTGTATAGAGAACGTTCGGCGGTACGTCAGGGCGGGTTTACCGGTTCTGCAGATTCTGAGGGTATGCGAAGACTTCGTTCGTAGAAACAGGGGTGTGAGCAGCATCGGGCTCGCCCGTGAAGATGTGCACTTGTTCTAAACTCGCCGCGAGTGCATCGGAGATGGCAATCACCCAGTCGCCGTAGAACACTGCAGGGTTGAGATCTGTCCCGCCGATGGCCACCGGAATGCCGGAAAAGACAGACATCAACCCACCGCCGATGAAGGATGCCCTGAGATGGCGTCGGACCCATAGTCAGTCCAGAGCTGAAACTGCCAACTGCAAAATCTTAAAGTCCACAGAGTCTACAGCTTGAAGGGAGGAGCGACACACCAGCCGGCTACAAACTTCTACAAGCAACTGAGGCCTCGACGCCAAGCACATTTTCACGCCAAGAGCTCGATGCGCTGCGTTCCGTTGTTCACTGAAGATAATCATCCCATAGGAGCAGCACATTCCGAACCTTAGCAGCTTCGAATAAATGCATGATGAGAACCGAATCGTCGAGGGTCTGCAAGTGTGATCGCGATTGAGAACCCAAAAGGGCCTGTGGCGGGCCCTGCCGTGCTTGCAGCTAGGCGGCATAAGCATGTGGTTGATGAGCGCCGAGGCCATTGCGCCAGCAAAGGAGCCCACCTGGCACTTGGCGCTCCGGCGAAGTATTGTGTCGAGTTATCTTACTGTATTGGGCCTGTGGTACGTTGCCTTGCCGCAACGTCCTGCGACTTCTTTCGCTGTCGCCGATCGCCAAGTGACTTGCCCAGACAGGCAGCGCTCCCGCTATGATTGGGCGTAATTGCTTGCGACGATCGAACCACCGAACCTAATCCGAGCAGCGATAGCTGCAAAATGAAGCAAAGGACTTTATGACAACAGAAGTAGAAGCGCTGGCGGTGGACGTCCTGACATGCTCGATATACTCCTGTCCTCCTGGTCATCATTTATTGTTCCTTCTCTTGATCAACCTCGTGACCGTACACTGATGATCCACATTGCCATGACAATCTTAATCGTCGTCGGCAAGCTCCTGCTGGTCATCATCAGGATCACCACGCTTCTCCTCATTTTGACCTTTACCATCACTGTCATCCTCCAGCACCAGCCAAAGCAACACCATCGCCGTCACTGTCTCTGCGCTGTGCCATGCTTCGCTGGCTGGCCTTTGATTGGTTCTTTTGCTCGATGTCATGGTGCTCCTGGCAATGGGCACGTTTCCGTGACACAAGTGACACTAACCAGCGAAGGACCAGCCGGCTCCTGACCAGCTCCGACAGGCTCCATGAGGGAGAGAGGCCTTGGCATCAGTCGCAACACGCGGTGTCGTGTAGAAAGCATGTTCAGAACTCTTGGCCCTTGGCATGATCCGCACGTTCCGATCCCGGCTCGGCGCTTGAAACCCCCAAGATACCCCAAGAGTCAAACCACCAGACCGCTTTGCGCATGGCTGCAGCATCCAGTTGCTTTTCTGCCAAGGTTCGAGATCATGCGCTTGAGCGCTCCGGTGTGATGCGAGACTTGCTCCAGCGACTGCGCCAAATTCCGCGTATCCTTCACATGGCAGACCGTTACACTTCAGGGCGGTTCTCACTGACGTATGCCTGGTATCAATACGGCTCCGCAGTTCCAGTGTCCGGTCCTGGCCATGGATCAGTGCGTGCAAGTGAGCACTGTCCTGAGCGTTGAGGGTCAAGAATTTATCCAGCAGATGATATGCTTCTTCAAACCGGCCGGGGCAGCTAAACTGCAACATCTGAAGAACAGTCTCTCAATCGAAGGATGCAGCCCTTGATTACCGACCGCCTGCCCTGATTCCGTGAACAGCTCGACAAGCTGGCGGAACTGGAACACCCAACGACGCTTGTCTGAAGGCTTCTCCAAGGCGACCTTGCTTGCTGAGGCTCCGCTCGCGCCGCAATGTCTTGCTCGTCCGAAGTCTTCTTTGATGCTTCCATGGCGCGAGTTGGGTACCCAGCTGCCACTACCACTACCTGGATCCAAGTGTGCCTTCTCAACCTTACGACCAGAGGCAGCTTTTTCGACGCATCTGCTTTTTGAGCCTGAGCAGCTACACACGAAGACAAATTGTGGATTCACCCACATCATCTGCTACCTGCCTGTAGCCGGCGATTGTGTTGGCATATGCTGCTGTCGCTTGCTTGCGTGCAGATGTGGGGGTTCTGGTAAGAGCGAGAATTGCTGCATTCCATCAAAACCCGATAGCTACTGATTCTTTTACTCATCATCCTAATTGAACAACAACCCCTTTCCCATGTTGTTTTTTCTGCGAAGACAAGAGTTTGCAAAGTTTGGACCATGACAACAGCTCCGCTGTGTCACCACTCGTCTGAGACAGGCGTCCGTGCAACACTGGGGTGACCCTAAACAGAGCGAACAAGTAGGGCCTGCTATTGCCTAACATTGGCTAAGTAGTCGGCTAATGTTCCGGCAGGCCCCGTGTTCTTGCGCAGCGGAAAAAGGGACCCCTTCTGTTGCTGTGACTGGAAAAACATATGACGGTTCAATCAACAGAGGTATCCAGATTCGACCCAAACTACCATAGGATTTCCCCGAAGAGCTAATGTCAGTCGAAGCAAGGGATTGTGCGCGAAGTGGAGCACGTAGGGCTCGTGTTGACTGAACCCACTAAAACGATGTGTGCGGTGAAAACTAAACTGTGGGCAGGTCGAGACAGCTCTCCTCCAGAGAGCCACTGCCAATCGAAAGCACTCCAGCATCTGAAGGGATTCATCCCTGCTGGTGCTGAAAGCATATCCTCCGCGTCTAAGGCGGAGGAAAACCTTTGCAGCTGTACGAAATCGTAACTTTGAGGCTTCTCCTGTTCTTCGCCATCACCCAGCCGTCCACCCAACAGAGAGGAGAGTGCGGGCAACGGAACTCAGAATGCCGACGCGGCACTCCGCGCCACAAGAGCATAATCCAGACTTCTCTGATGGATGAGACTTCAAAAAATGCTTTCAAATGGCTCCCTCCAGCTTGCAGCTCACCCTGCGTTTTAGTTTGAGCTACACAAGCTTAGGGATCGGCATCTTGGAAACTTTAGACTACTTTGACCTCACACGCGGCTGTCAATCGCAGCTCAGACTTCGCGGCAAGAAATCATCTGCCCCTTCATCCAAAGCCAGTTGAGCTGCCTCCACATACTACAAAGGCAAAACATGGCAAAAGGCGGCACTCTTTTTTAGCTTTCGCCGTGACCTCTATGATGTCTCTCAGCCTGCTGGGGCACAGAAGCAGTCCTACAGAAGCAGAACCCTGAAGCCCGAACCCGAGATTGATCTTCTCCAACAAGAAAGCTTAATTTAAAGCTTCATGAGTCGTAGGGTCGTGGGGCTCCAGGAACTTGAAGTATAGGTCTTTAGGCTTGCTTATGATTCCACGTTTGATCAAGAGCAGGCAAGTGGGTACCAGTAGGCACCTGCGCTTTTTCCTCGTCCTCTCGGCTCATGCCTAACTCCAACAAGTCCGGCTTGTCAGCCGCCGGATCTTCCTCCTGCAAGCGTTTTTTTGAGTTTTAGCAGCTGCGTCCAGGCTGACAGGGATGTCATGCACCCAAAAAAAGTGGTGTCTGGCTGGGGCTCTATCAAACGGCAGCAACATGGAACGCTAAGAATCAGTCTCAGAACCGGAAAGCCATGGCCACGCTTCGAATAACCCTCATGGTTAACCACGACTTCACAAACTTCCCAGCTCATGTTCATGAATCCTAAACCCTAAACCCTAATTGCGTCCGGAAAAAGACCGGGCCTCTTCTTCCCTGACCGGCTCGTCGTCCAAGAGCTGGAGCTCCACTTCTGAAAAGATGCTGCGCAAAGCCTGTGGGAGCCGGGGGGCTAGATGGCGAAAACTCGGAGTCTTGCCAACTGTTGCGCATGTTCATCCAAGCTACATGACATGAACGAGAGTTGGAGAGATTTCTGCACAAGCACCAGGTAGCGCTGGGGAAGCACTGTTGTTGGACGGCCCCTCTCCCAAACCAGGTGTGGTGTGTTTCTGTCGTTCTGTGCAGACTATCAAAGATGCAAGGTTTAGCGCGCAGGGCTGATGGTAGCACCACTTTACATTTGCACTTTGAAGACCTCACTCGAATGTTCAATCCGCCGGGTGAAGGCGATCCTGAAATCCTGGTTAGGGACATCGGACAGCAATCCACAGTTGTGGGGGTGTCGTGAAGCCCTGTTGTTGCTTCATGCTCTGGTCTTCAAATGATTGCACACTTCGAGGTAGACGTGGTGCAGTCTTTAACAGGACCGCAGAAGGAAAACGAAGTCCACCTTAAACGGATGACCATGGAACCATCCCCCTCCGCAGCCGTTGCGTTGGGGAGATGGCATAGTAGGTCTGTGTCTCGAAACACAACGTTATCTGAATCTGCAATGAACGGGGACCTCTGGTCTGTCGTCGAAACACTGCCCGCACCTGGCGGATGACGGCCAACGTTGCAATGAAGAGAGGGAAGACCACAGCGACTTCCTCTGAAGATCAGCAGAACGACTGCTTGATAGCTCAGCTGTGAAGCTGGAAGAACATTCCATGCTCTTCTTGCCGGCGAAACTTAACAGGAGGTTATCAGGAAGTAAGGATTGCATGGCATCGATGCGATTTTCGTTTTGCCGGTCCGATCTGGTTCAGGTTTAACTGATCAGAACCCTGGACTGGATGCTCTCCGAGAACTTCCAAAACCTGCTTGCAACCCCCGCTCCGAGGTCGTCTTCAGGGCATAGAGCGTTGCAAGGCACACCACCTCCAGGGCAAGTTAGGCTTCTACCGAGTCTGGGCCTGTAACTATGGTTGAGCATTCAGAAAGGTTTGCTCCCGGATGCATTGACAAACCGTCTCTGCCTGAATGGCAGTGTAAAGGTGCACGCGCCGTACGGACATGTGGTCTCCGAGAAAATGGTAATTTGGGTATTTGGTCGTGTCCCAGATCATCCATAGGCACATCCGATTGAACAAAGCATTTCCGGTCAGCGAACTGATTCCCATGTAGAAGAACACTCCGTGCAGGACCGACTTGGGCAGAAGGCGTAGAACCGGTGCCATGAACAGCGAGAAGCCCAGCAGCAAGTGGATGATGAAATTTGTCGCGCGCTGCTCTACCACATTCACCGGCTCTTTGCGAATACCCTCCTCAACTCTTTTCTCTTCGTATGTAGTCAAAGAGATCAGGTGCGTCATGCTGGGAACAGTCGAAGCAACTGACATGGGTAGGCCAAGAATGCCACAGGTGGGCATAAGAAACAGGCCTCGTACAAAGAGATCCTCAACTGTTCAGCAACATCGGGTCTTTTCTGGAGAACTTCGGTTTTACATTTGTAGGACACGGAAACAAAAGACAAACACGTATACCACTGATAAACCTAGGATCCAAGTGGTAGCCAGGAGGTTTCTTCAGATTGTTGGATGGCCTGTTGACGATTAGACTAGTCAAGTTCTCGTCCAGGTATCCCAGGACTGTAAATCCCAAGGCTGGAAAAATTGCATATGCAATTGCCCAAGCAGGTAGCGGCCGCTCCATCCCCGCAGGATTTACTATCCAGCTTCGCTTCTCCAATCCCTCCAATTTTAGGGATGGGGCAAAGTCAGCGTCCATGGGGAGCATTCTGATGTCTGCTTTGGGACCAGCCGCCAGCAGAGAAGCCGACACCAACGCAATGGTCACGGCAAAGTTTGCGAGAAAATTGCGTATTGGTCTGGTCAGCCATGGTGACCGCCGGAAATGCGAAAAATAGAGCGCTGTGCCTTGGAGTTTCGCGGAGCACATTGCTGCATGCAATACACGCTGCTCCACACGTACGATGACGGCACCAGCACAACAAAGCGTAGCAGCAACGACGACGACAACAACAGCAACATCAGCAACAGCAACAGCAGCAGCAGCAGCAGGAGGAGCAGTAGCAGTAGCAGCAACAGCAACGGCAACGGCAACGGCACCAGCAACAACGACAACAGCCACAGCCAGACACAACTAACATGGCAGCAGGCGGTTGTGCTATCGATATTGGTGACATCGACATGGCGGCCACTAGGATGTTCATGGTTATTATGATAGCAATGAGCCTGATGCATATACGGGTAGCGATGATGCTGTCATGAACATGCCAGTCAAAATAATGGTGGTAATCTTGCCGGTGATAGTTATGGCGGAAACACAGAGGATGGTGACCGTGATGATGATGATAATGACGATCGAGGACTGGGCCACTGTAGCTTGGGGAGGCTTCCATGTTTTGGGACACAGGTTTGCTGCAAAGCAGCCGACGGTGTAGGCAAACAGCAAAGCCTCGAACACGGCACCATCCAGGCTCAGCCTCGCCTCGACAATCCACTGAAGTGAGGGAGGTATGATATTGGCTTTCTCACTCGGTCCTCCGTGAAATTCAGGATGATCGGCCGCAGCCCATCCACTATGTACACGAAGCTAACGAGGCCCACGAAGACATCCTCCAAGCACCAGGACCAGGGCATGGCAACGCAAACGCACAAGCTCTGGCGCAGATCCAACTGCCTTGGTCGTCGTCATCGTCATCAGCAGCATCGCCATCATGATCTCATGATTCATGATCTTTATCATCATGACAATCGCTCCTACACGCTCCGCTACGGGCCTACGTATGCCAAGAAGAGCAGCAGACCCACGAAAAGCCGTCAGAGTTGGGACAGGCTCGCGACACCTCTTTCAAAGCTTTACAGGTCCTCTGTGAACAAGGTGACGTACTTCATCAGTGCACACAGGTCGAAGATAGCCACCAGGATGGTGAAAACGGCGCACCACATGCAAACCCAGAAGTAGAAGGGAAGGAACTCCAGGTCCACCTGCGGCTTGCATTTCCGGGTGCAGGGCCTCATACTCCGGACTCCGGCTGCTTTACAACATTGTTTTAGTATGTGTTCGATTGCGCAGGCGAATGCCCAGCCGAGCTGCAGCCGCGGCGAGGTCATAACAAACCATCGTGTAAGCCAGGAAGGGCCCAGTAGGTCCTACGATGGCCAGCGGCTGGCCGGCAAACCTCCGCAATAGGATGACGAGAAGACGCGAAAACAAAAACCTTCACACGGCCATTAGGCGTCTTGACTTTGGCTCCCGAGTTTCTTCAGAGCTCGTTTGGCAAGTACGAAAGCTTGACAAGAGCACGGGGCACTGAGCCAGCACGGAAAGAAATGAGCTGATGCTGTTCATCGTAAATTCTTCTACTACGTACAACGAGCCGAGCAACAAGGAGCATATCACCCCGCTAAGCGCAGTGGACAGGATCATCTCTGCCACCTTTCACGTGTTTCCAGGGCTTCTGGAAAAGCATTCGGTCAAACACCGACCAGGCATTCGAGCTGACTCAGTCGAAATCGTGCACTCACTTCAGAGATCTGGGGTGGAGGGTTGCTGAATGAGCACATCCGCACATCTCTCACCATTCCAAGGCACGCCGAACTGGCCACCGGTACCATCGTAAAACTGGCTTCCAAACCTCGGATCGCATGACATGTCAGGGTGCTATATGCTTACTTCGCTGAGGGGTGATTGACAATGCTCTCAGTGAGCAGATCATGCTACAACAGCCACGGACAGTAACTTCATCTAGAAGAAGAAAGAGCTCCGCGCCCGCACCCCATCCACCGGTTCATCTCTGAGCGGCGTGACTGCTGGAGCTAGTGCTGCTGCAAACAGATACACGATCGTCGTCACTGTCTTCTGGAGGTTCCTTAAGGCCAGCAAGTTCTGTAACGCTGGATCACGTCCGGCAACAATAACTGCGCAAGCTTCCGGTGCGATGACGGTCCGAGTCTCCCCGAAATGAAGGCATCTGTCCAATCGCTGAGGTAGAGTGGGGAGCGGCGACGCAGGTCTAGCAACAGACCTTGGTAAGATTGAATACACTTGCTGTACGATCAAGATGCACGACCTGCACAGCATATGGTTGAGGCCAATTGACACAGTTGGCTTCCTGCCACCTACCAAGTGCTAGCAAAGCTAAGTTCGAACAAGAGACCACCGCCGATCCGGCCAGTGAACTGCAAAGACTCATCGAATTCCTGCGCTTGCGTAGGATGAAGCAGGCTTCGCTGGGTCATTGGGGCGGACATGTCCTTCTTTAAAGAGACATTGATGTAGCCAGATTGGTCGCGAATCACAGCGGTCGCTTCTGTCATGGTAAGAGATTCCCAGCTTATCCTTAAGCCGAGATGAACATCGGAGACGGTGCACGAGCCAAGGACAAAATGCAGAGCTCGTCAGATATCCCGTTCATGGCAGAAGCAGAATTTTGCGCCGATCGCTTTTCGATCCCCAAGTCTCCTTCGCTTTGGAAGGGCAGAGAAGGCGCAAATGCACGCACGGCCGATGACTGCATGTGGAGACATCAGGGTCTAGAATCATGCGACGTTCAAGAATCTCAGCCCCGAGAGAGGACCTGTAAGAGTCATCAGCGCAATGGCGAGGAATCTTGTTACTTGTTGATGCAAGCAGGTCACCTGGCTTCGCCGGGGAACTCTGCAAGCACGGCAGTCGATAAGAAAGGGCAGCAACATCGATGACAAACAAAGGCAGACATACTTGGGACTTACGAAGCCGGCATGCACGACACATTGAAAAGGTAGCCATGTTTTGTATTGAAACATTCTTACGGCAATAATTTGGCCTAAATCATGCCCACACCCATAGGCAGATATCATTTGGCATACCTCACCAAATGATGGTCATCAGCGGGTTGTAGATCTTCACGAAGGCCTGCAATGCCCAGCTGGGAAGATGGCTTCGGGTCGGAATGAACCTCCCGACACTGATAGACATCTTTCTAACTCCCAGTCTGCCTCCCTGGGAAGAAGACCCCCAATACCAGGCCGCGTCTGCGGCTCTTAGGAATGGCTAACAATCTTGCGAAGGCACCGTATTACCATTTTGTCTTGACAGAACCAGAGCCCGGCGATTGATTAGCAGACAGCGAACGGCATGATACACATATCACGAGGACCCTTCGAAAGGCTCTCATGAAGCTTCCTTTCACGAAGCCCATGGCAAGCCAATCACGGACGGTGACGAACAAGTCACGTGGCGTCGCTGCGAAGGACAACCGGGCCACTTCCGCTCAGGGCATGAGGAACTATATCGCAGTCCTGTTTTGGAGGCACAAAGACGAAAAATCATGCGAAGGGAATCTGCACCTGCCACTCCAAGTAACAACATTACGCTGCTGGCTTGCAGAACCGCAAACAATCCGTGGTCAGAGACAAGGACCGATACAGCCTGGCGTTCTGTTCTGAACAGTGTGTCGGCTTGCGGCTTTGTATTGCATGCGTGCATACATGCAGGCATCTATGTATGTCTGTATTTATGTGCGTAAGCTCGTATGTTGGTATGTCGGCATGAGGACATGTAGGCATGTACGGATGTATGGGTTTACATACTTATGTATGTACGCATGTATGTATGGCTGTACATGCACACACACACACACACCTACATATATATATATATATATACACATATGCATGTACACAACCTGTGCATTTGTATATATATATATATATGTATACAGATTACATATATTCATATTCCGTATATCTGTATGTATATATAGATACACATCCATCCATCCATCCATCCGTGCGTACATACGTATATACACATACAGGCTTGAAGATATAACATAGGTATAGATACAACATAGATGTAAGAAAACATAGTGCCATAAATACAACAGAATATGACATAGACATAGTCTTAAAGAAACATGATACATATAGATAGAGGGAGGGATGGAGGCAGGGAGGGAGGTGACATGTGCATGTAGTATGTTTGCATATATACACACAGACATACGTACATACACACACACATATATATATATATATATACACATATAATACATATTTCCATATATATATATATATATATATATATACATACCATAATCACACACAGAGACCCTATCTGCACAGATGACTTCGGAGCTGGCCTCGGTGGAGGCAGCCAAGGCAGGCCTGACACCAAAAGCGCATCGTTGGGCAGCCCTTGTTGGGCAGCGGATATCGATGGGGTACACAAGCGATGCCATGCAGGGGAATTCGGAGCTCATCACAAAATCAGATCTCAGTGCATTCAGAAGGCGAGATGTCGTTGTTCCGCAGGATCACCTGGTGTGGCTGATGAAGTCTGAACATGCCAACCAGTCATACATGCCATGCGCGAGGATCAGCATGCATGGGAATAAAGTCCGAAGCAGCTTCAGCTCTTCGGCTTGGAGGATCTAGTCGGCAGGGTTGAACTCTCTGGGAGAATTACGTGACCCGCTAGGGAACCACCCGATCTGTTTGACGATCTTTTTGTGCACAAAGAGCGTGAAGAGCTGAGGCCCGTTCCAGGTCGATCATGGAAGTGAGCTGCTTGGGGTTCCAGAGGGAACGCTTGTGCTCCTCCCAGGCTCCAGAAAAGAAACCAGGTATGGTCCGACATCCCCAAGAGACCAGCAGCACAACTGGACAAGGCCACGCCACAGTGCAAGCGCTACTGGTAGGGTTTTGAAACCCAAACCATCCCCCTCCGAACGCACAGGCGGTCAACGCCTTCTGAAAACGCTCAGTCAGCGCATGGAGGCCAGGCCTGGCAAGGAAATGCTCCACGGAAGGGTATCTATGCATACAACTATGTAACTTATGATACGGGTAGTACATTACAATATTATTGCTATGTATGTAGGTATGATGCTGTGACGGACGATGCCCTTTCGTCCTTCGTGCAATTTGTGTCCGTTCCGGCACCTTTTGAACTCCGTGCTGCCGCATGATTCGTCCGATCTATGCAACTGTATCGAGACATGTTTGAACGGCACATGTTTCGACAACACCATGCTGCAGGAACGACTAGCTGCGAGAGAGCTCTGAACCAGGGCTGTCACGCTCTGACTCGCAATTGTGGAGGTGGTGGTATCCACGAGCAGTCACTTTTGGACCCGAAGCCGTGGTGGTGGTGCTTGGTCTAAACCTTGGTTGTACTGGCCCTGCGGTGGTGTTGTGTAAACCTCACAGGGTTGAGCGGGCAGTGTGCGAATGGAATGTGCGACTCAACTGTCTTCTGCCGCCGCCTCGCTCGAACTGCCAGAACCACTGACCCTGATTATGTCCCAACCGGGCTTTCAACAGGCCAGGCAAGCTCTCCGATCCGGTTGCCCTCGAGATCCAGTGTCTGTAGTTTGACCATCCTTCGCTAAGGCATGTACGGGCTAGCTTGGGCCACAAGGACCGGCCCGTGCTGGACAGTGGGCACCTCTTCCACCTACCGAAAACCTTCAACAACAAAGCCTCGCAAGATAGGACTAAAACGGTGTCTAGGACCCCGGCTGGTTTGAACTCATCACCGCCTTCAGGCCTGCAATCAGACGCATCCATCGTTTCTCATGCTTGAAACTTCCTTCACCAAAGTGGGCCTGCTGACGTGATGCCATTGTCGCGAAGGCCTGTATGCAATCTTTCAGTGTGCAGGCAAATGCCAACAACGCCAACAACGGCGTTCGACAGCTGCTGCTATGCGAGGCTGATCCAAGTTGCAAAGGGTTGCCCGGGACCTTGAACTAGATACCATCTACGCGGCACGGTGGGGTACGCTATCGCGAAGTATTTCTTTCGACGTTTAGACTTTAGACTCGACTGCGGCACAAAACACAGGCGGTTCATGACGACAATAAGACGTGGACAAGAGAATCAAAGGATGTTGTTTTGTCTTGGTGCCTGATAAGCAGACAGTGGCATGGGGCATGCGGCAGGGGATCGTGCAGTGAACAGCTAGCAGCCCACGCGCCTAGGTAGTGCAGTGAGCCCAGCACAGGTACCTTGCAAGACATCATGGAACCCCGAACACATGGGGGATCATGGGGGCACAGAATGTAAGTTGTCGCGTGCTGTCTATCGCAGCGAGAATCTGAGAAACTGGGAGCCAGGCAAGCTGTTTGAAGCCTTCGTCACCCAAAGAGCAGCCCGAAATCTCCAAGTAGTTCAGGGAGAACGACTCCTGCAGCGACCAGGTGTTCCAGCCGACAATCGTTGTGCTTCTGTCTCGACACTCATCTGCTCTGCAGCCGTCAGACTTGCACAACCATCGTACGCACACCTGCTAAGAAGTGCTTGTCCAAAAAAAGCAGTCTGAGCCTGAGAAATTTCATGGCATGGACCCTCAACACTGCAGTCAGCAATAGCCAATAATTTACCGCTATGTCCTTGTCGTTCTGATCCATCCACTTTACCATGTCAGAGCCTCGGCCGGCCGCGAACAGCGAGCCATCAGAAAGCTAGAAGCAAAAGACACTTGGAGCTTGATTACGATGCGCACTTCGAGGGTCGACCATGCGATCTTGGGCTCTTAGGCTTCTGGTGCTTGCGAGGCGCATCCCTCTGGCCCCAGGTCGTTGTACGACACGTCCAGACCTCAACGAACATGCCATAGTTAATCGCTAATACTCGCTGGCTCGCTAGCTGCGGCTTGCTGCGACCTTCCCAGACTGCTCAGCTCACACGCCGAAGCTTTGGGTCGGGCCCCAACTATGCAAAAGACCTGTGCCAACACGACTTCCAAGTTTCATGGCAGAGGCCCAGGCGCTGTAGGTTCGGGGACAAGGACACGAGGCTCAAGAGCATTGCCTACCGCGCGCAAGGGCGTTTCGGCAGTCAACAAAAACTGCCTCCAGCTGAGCGCACTAGAGAAAAGACGAACGCGACGCAATCCGGAAGCATGCTGTCAGGTTCAAAGGTGACGCAGGCCTGCAGTTACGAATCGGAAGTCTCGAAACACTTCAGAAGGCCCGTCTACACATCTCTGCAGATTTCCGATGCAGCCTGCGAGGCTTTGGTGAGCCCACACTTGGACATGCGCAGGTTGATCAAGCCGATACTCAAGCCTTAAGGGACTGTTGCGGTCTTTACACAGCTTCTCGGGGCTGAGTCTAGAAGTGTAGGCAGAATCACCAATCAAGAACAACCAGTCGCCAATAGCGGTACCACGGACAGCTGTTGAAGACTCCATTCCAGCGATATGCCGCGAGCGCCCGCATCTCATGATCATATTATGGAAAATTGGTGATTCTGGTATGGGGGCAGGGAATTTCTGTCTCACGACTGCCATAACGGACAATGGGACGCGGGACCCCGTTGCCACACACAACACCGTCCTTCAGGCTCAGGAGATACTGCCACACCGAAAAAGCCCACTCTGTGCGCATGGCTCTCGGCTATGATGGCCAATCCCTCCTCGGATCGCATGACGGCAGATGCTGAATTGCTGAACTGTCTTAAGCCAAGCATCATCTCCAATCGGGTTGCCATTGATTACCAACTCCTGCAGGTCCTCCGGCACTCTCTACGAGGAAGCATCGCCAGCGCTTCAGCAGGCAGGCCCCCCACCCCCTGGCACATCACCCCTAAATACCGAAAGATCTTCTTTGAAATTGCAAACTCGACGGAGAAGAAGTCAGGATATGGGAAACGTCTCAGATTCTCGGTAGAATGGAGGCGCTGCCACACAGGTTTAGGCGCCAAGTCGTGTGGTTGGTGAGGTGGGTGAGCCCACTAGTCGCGCCAGTAGTAGCAGCAGCAGCAGGAGGAGGAGGAGGACCAGGAGTGGTAGAAGGAATTGCGGTTGTAGCAGGTCTTGAAGTTCAGTGGCAACAGCAGCAATTTTTAGCACCGGTACCAGTCTAGTAGGAGCAACAGCTGTACAAGTAGCAGCGGCAGTCACCGAGGGCGCAGATGCAGTTGTCCACAGTGGCAGCAACAGCAGCTGTCATTGCTGGATTGTTGTCATCCGTTTTCGTGGTCGTCGTCGCACCCTCACTTTTCGTAGCAACTGCAACAGTTGCCTACCGCAGCAGTAAGAACCTCGGCACGGCCCGGACAACTTTGGCAGCGAACGGAGGGCTCCTGAGTCTCGGCAGCACCCTGGTCGAGGAAGTCGTCCATGGAGTCAGCAGTAAAGCCCATGTCCTGCACCAGAAGCCCGAGAAACCTATGGCCAGGGAAATTAATTAGCAGCAGTTCGATTCGACAACTATATTTTGGGCGGTAGCAAGCGAGGTTGCTAGGAGTCGGCCGAATGGAGGAGAAACATGAGGATGAGAATGGCAACGCTGATAGTGACGAGAGTGGTGATGACGACGATGATGAAAAATTACAACAGCACAGACTTGCCAGGGACAAACCAGGCAGTCTTTCCGCGTCACAGAATCCAATCTGCATGCAGCACTGCAGTCACCAACATGTTCCATCCGGAGCACCCCTTCGGTTTTGATTCACAGCTCCTCGAGCTGCAGTGTCAGCACGCGGCTGTGTTCGATGGCGCTGCCTCTGCTTTGAGCTACTCTTCAGCTGCAGAAAGCTGCTCTCGGCAACACCGGGAGACTACTGCATACATCCTGTACCAAACATGTTTTCTGTGTCAACAGCTGCAGATTGCTTGCTTTTCCGGCCTATGTGAGACGGTCCCACGTGGTCCAAGTGGTTGCCGGACAGCACGAGCTTCACGAGTGTCTGGCATGTCCTGAAAAACGCTGTGTACTAATTAGAATAGGGCTTTGGGGCCCATTATACAATACGTATAGTAAGGAATAGCATGGAGTAGCAGTACTTGGTGATACTTGCTTATCCCTGTCCTCATCATGTCCGCAATCGTCTCAGCCGCGGAGTCGCTGAAGATACCGTTGTGTGCCTTCGGATTTCCGGAGGTTTCCGCAGAGGCGTATCCGGTCATCGTCGATTAAAGAAGCGGTTCTCTGTGATGCTTCGGTTCCGTTCCTTTCCGCCCTTCCCACGGCGCACCAAGTTGACGGACTTCAGTGAATTGGATTCCGCTACGCCCATGCAGACTTCCACGCCACCATCGTCTCCGAGCCTCGGGCGGCACAGCGTGCGGCTGATTCAGAGCTGTGCCATCTGAGATTGTCCGTGCCGAGATCCGTGCTGGTTGTTGGCCACAGAGATGTCTTGGATCCGGATGTGCTCCCTGCTGAGGTGCTTTGCTCAACACTGTCTCTGCCACGTCGCGGGGTCTCAAAAGGTCCGAAGGGACCCGGCCTAAGCAGCTCTCGCAGTGCCTTGGCGCCCTCCTGCACCGCTGCACAACTGCACAGCCGGCTGATGCTCCGTGCTACTGCTGGACCTTCTACGCCTGGCGTGCGTTTCCCCTATAAGCCTAAGTAGGCTCCAGCTTGATGCCGCAGCCATCGAGCTCCAGGAGGCGTAGCCGAGAGCACCTGAACAAGAATTCCCAATCAAGACAAAAAAGCGGGCTCTACTCCATTCGGAGTCGTCGGTGCGGGCCTGGCAAGCGCCTGGCACACAGCGGCCACTCCCTGACAGCCCAGTGCCTCAGCCAAAGAATGCTCTGGGCGTGGCTTTGGCTTTTGAACTCCTGCAGTCCCAGCAGCATTCTTGGACAAACAGAGCGTATCGAGCCTCCAGCACTGCTTATGGGCATTCCAAAGCGCAACGACTTCAGGGGAGACCTCGTCTGCTCCAAGATCTCGATTCTGGTGCAGCCTGCGGCGCTGAGGCCTTGAGCAAATGGCATTCAAAGGGCTTGGGAGCTGAAACGAGCCGGTGTGGTGGGCTGTACGTGTCTTGCATGCACTACGACTACGACGGAGAGGCCGATGCTTTCGAGTTCGGTGTACCGCTCACTCCGAGTGGCCACGACTGTGCTTGGTTCTCGCGTGGCTGGGCCGGTGTTTCCAGTGGATGGGTCGGTGTTCTCTCAATGCATCCCATCAAAACTGTGGCAAGATCTTCTCAACTCTAGAAAACGAGCGGCAGTCACTCTGAACATTACTGCGCAGATTGGAGCTTCCTTACAGGAATGAGCTCCCGGCTGATGTTCTCCGCCCTCAGGACCTGACAGGCACAGCTTTCGGAGGGATCGCCCCATGACTCTTGAGCATGCGCGACTTCAGATGCTTGACAAAGTAGACCACTCGGCAGATACCATGCTGTGTAGACGGTCCTATCAAAACGACCACGCATCAAAAGACCAAACGACTTTCGTGTGATCATTGGTGTGCAAACAGGGATCATCGCTACGAGCCTCATAGAAAGTCGCGATATGAGCCCATGCACATGCACCCTTAATCATACTGAGGCCGCATAGGCGAGAGTACGAGCCAAAGAGCAAAGCGAGGGCACCACGACCACCACCAACAACAAAGACAACAACGACGACGAGACCAACTGCAACTCCAATGTAACCACACTCACCAAACAAAGCGAACACGGTGAATCGGAACGACATTTGGCAACAACGAAGACGAGGAGTATGGTGGCGAAGCAGCATCAAGCCTAGAATTCGGAACGGGCGGTGTGAACAACTACCACACCGGCCAGCATCCACAAGAATGCCAATGAACAGGAGTAGTCGCAATAGTGAATCCAAGCTGCAGACAGAAGCAATAATAACGACAATAATGACAATGAAAATAGTCATTAACTCGTCGTCATTACCTCCAGGGTCATCATCCCGATTATCACTGCCATCGCAAACGTCCTACCCTCACTCTCATCAAGGTCTGCAGTTGCAGCTACCAAACTGACGCCAACGGCTATTACCTATCACTGGAGCCTGCCTGGAAGCGGCGATAGCGAGACATCCCCTGCAGCAGGTCGTTAAAGCCTCAACAGACAGTAGTCGTGGATTAGAAGACAGGCATCGCAGCCCCCCCTCCCCTGGCTGTGTTAGCATTCTCTGCAAACGCTGCCTTCATCGCCGATTTTCGTGTTCTGCGACCTTTCGAGCCAAGCTGTCGCAGATCAAGCGCCACATATATAACAACACCCAACATCGATGTAAAGCTGCTAGGAGTCCTCCGTTGAAAGGGTGGCGAGAGCTCCATCATGACAAGAGAGAGCCGTATCACGCTGAGTGCCTCTGAAGAGGCAGACATCTGTGCCCCGCACACATCCAGAGAGGTGACGCCCAGGGTCTCGTTCTGCCAAACGCCAGTGCTGAGATGGTACTAATCAGCCCTGCATGATCCCGCGACGCCGCACCTCCCTCTCTGCATCGGGATCATATTCCTGGAAGCAGGGAACACCCCGCTAGAAAGACTCGCAAGTTTTCCAGCATGGCCTCGTCCTCATCCTCGAAGCCATCGCCATCGGTGTCCGGGGTTTCCTGTGAAATGACACGACGGCGATGATAGTCATGATGGTCATCAGTCAGCAGCATCATCGTCACCATCACGATACCGATTATAAAATGGCCACTTTCTTCGGACACAGGTCGCAATGTCTAGCTGCCGGTCGTGGCTCTCGGATTCCTTGCCTTGCCCTCGTCGTGCTGCTGCACCGAGTCCCTTTCCGTTCAGCGCGTGCGAACATTCTCCAAGCCAACATCCGCAAGCTATTTCAGTTAGGCTGCAGCGAGGTGGGAGGTACTTCAGTGAGACTATGCTAGCCGCTACTGGCCCACATTGTATCACCAGGCACTACAGATCGAGCAACATTCTGGTGCAGCGCGTGAGGCTCCGGCCAAATTCTCGCAAGAACGGAAGCCTCAGGTTTTTCTACGCTCGAAAACCCCGCTTTGCTTCAGATATCTTCAGATTCATGGAAACTCCTTGTTGTCTGTATCTGTCTCTCCGGGCCCAGACACACTTGCACTGAGAGCAGGGGCAACAGGGCACTTCCGAATTGCTGACACAAACACAGACACGGATGAGGAGAAACAAGCGAGACGATGAATGTCGACGTTGTTGTTCTACGAGCTTCAAAGCTGTGGTCCTAATTGAGTGCCCGGCGGCTGCCGGGTCCAGATCCTTGGCACCGAAGGGCACCGGCATTGATGTGGCATCTGAACATGCCCACAAAAAGGGACCCCAGTCATTGGAGTCATCGGCAAAGTCAGCACCAACTAGTGTGCGAGACGGTGCCCTTTGTCCAAGCTCCTTTTGCGAACCCGATGTCGAACGTAGCGAAACCCCCACCTAAAGCGAGCCAAGTCTCATTGTTCCGCAACACGAGAGACCGGCATGCGCGGGTGCGTGACAGCCTCCGAGATGGATTTCCGAAGCTGCTGGACTCTGGGACTTCCGTATTATATGAGAGTTTCGTTTCCGAAAATAGAGGACCCTAATATAGTGCCCTCAATAGTGGGATCCTTGCTATAAGGACCCCAAAATAACGTACCTCTCATTTTCGGAAACTCCCACATATAGGTACATGTTTACGAACCGTGCACGCAGCTGGTGTGTACGTGTTCATACTTCAGCGTTCATACAGTAGCTCATGGTTAGCTCTAGCAGAGAGGCCAGGAGTAGATCATATCTTATGTCGATAAAGTCTTTGAACTAGCCAACCAGCTGCTGACAAGTCAGGCAACCATGTAGCGAGTTTGTAAGCTTCTCCCAGGTCAACCAATCACCGCGACCAAGCCGAGTAGTTCCTGATTTTTGCGGCTGCTTTGCCAAACAGTTTAGCCATCCTCTTGGCTTCGAAGACGAGCAGGAGCAAGCGTAATCATTGTCGTCTGTGCCATCTTCGTACAGTAGTGGTGGTCCTAGTGGGTCGTGGTCGTGGCAGTTAGAAGTACGGTGCGGGGCTGAACCCAGTCAGCTGCCCAATGCCGACGCACCCGATGCCTGGCCTCTCCGGATGATTCAATGCATCAGCCAGCATGCTGACGCTCACAGCGTTGATGCCTCAGTGGCATTGGCATTTCTGGGCTCAGCCCACTGTGCCCTGCTTCGTGAGCTCAGCTGTCTGCCATTGTCTGAAAGGTCTATTCCATCTGTCCTTGATTGAACAAGGACACAACGCACACTGCCAGGGCAGATGAGGATTTTATTGGGTGTTTTCACCTTGTGAGACAATGCCTCAGCTCTGCACTCGTTCGCAACGATGAGCAGAGCCATGACTAACCTTCACGGTCGTCTGGGCATTGCCAGTTGCTGCGACGAAGCTCCTCTTCCCTGGCCTCTTGGAGAAGTGGTTGATGTCTGCGATGAGCCCTTGATAGGGGCCTCAGCATGCTTGACATGTCGCATTCGGACTTAAAGCCACTTTTGTCACAAGCTTGGAGCCTTGGAGCCCTGCCAGTCTCCGGCATTTGAGAGCCGCCGCCCCACACATCGGAAAAGTTAAGGGCAGAGGCCTCATGCCATCTGCCAAAGGCTCACCACTGACTGAAGCCCATCCGAGGTCTGAGCATACCAGGAAGTCTCCAAGAAGCCACGCCTCTTCACGCGCCTCCACACCTGCCCGACAGAATCATTCCCGGTGCCTCGCACTATGCACCCAAGCTACAGTAGGAGCTAGCAGTGTGCAGGAATGCGAGCAAACACGCGGCGAGACCCTGGCCTTTCGCGGACGATAATCAGTTCCTGCGAGCTTCGTGCTCTGAGTTGTCATCCCCAGAATGGAGGTTCGAGAGACTGTACAAGTACAAGTACAGCCTCAATGAAACAACCTTTTCTTAAGGTGCCAGTGCATCAGGGTCATATGCGCACGCTTTTGAGCTTAGGATGTGCTCCGTCACACCGAAGCCTAAAACATTTCGCAGCCAGAAACATCGGTTCCCTCGTCCTGAGATGGTGACGGTTTCCAAGCAGTGGCAGCTCACAACCTTCGAGGGCCCAAGTATAAATTCTCATAGTAATATCAGGCGTGAAATTTGTATCTGATGCTTTGAATATGAAGAATGAAAGGGAATGCTGAGCTGAGATGCGGTGACAGCACCTAAAACACATGAACAGCTCCTTTGGAAGGTTTCGCACAGGCTGCTTGCCATTGATGGGGCTTCTTTGAGCACCAAACCAGGAAACCTTGCATTGAAGCGATTTCCGGCGCTCATCGAGCATACTTGGACTTTTACTACTTTTTCGGGTGCTGTAGATCTGCAGTTCAGCCCGACATGAGCAAATCGGAACTGAGGACCCGCACCGCCATCATCAGTTGTACCAGGTTGCGATTTTCTATCGAAAGCTCGTAGCGCCTGCACTTCGCTTCGAAGTACATGAGTTTAGTACTGGATTGGCGCAGCACAGGCACTATCCGGTGCGTCTGCATCTGCTTTGCAACAAAGTTTTAGTTTGCCGATCCCACCTGTCATCATCTTTTTGATCCTTGGTGCTATATTGCGTGGACTCTTGTGCGGATGACTAGCACGTCGCGACACCAGGACTAAACACAGACCAGCGTCCATGACGAGCTTGTTCAGGGTGACAGCGCTCTCCAGAACCCTGCTTGGAAGGCCACTGGCAGAAAATGAATCTATGTGCGGGACAGATCGGAAGGTTACCGAAACCCAAACAGCAAAACCGAGAGTGGCAGTTACGAAGGCCTGATGACTTCCTGGATCTCTGGCATGCTAAAGTCCCAGAAGCTCAGGTTCCAGACGCCCCGCTCCTGGAAATGCAGACTGACAGCAGGAAAGGAGGGGTCTGAAGGTTCGGCCCCTAGCAGCTCCTCTCCCCAGCCGTTTAGGGCATTCACCGCCTCTGACAGGAAACCCTCTGGCACGTGCTTGGCTTGAGCACCTGGCAAAGTACATGCAAACGAAGCTTGCAACCTCAACGCTGAAGGTTTGCCCAGCACCAGATACATGCAACTGCACAATCTGAGTTGCAGCTGCAGCCCTTAATTTGCCCCCGATGCATCGTGCCTATGCTGATGAGCTTACTTCTCAAGTGGTCATCGTTCTCACCAAGCACCTGGCTGGCAAGCAGCTGCAACGCTGAGGCAGGCGCACGTCTTGTGAATCATCCCCAGCAGTGCTCAACGATCGGCGACAAGGAGCTCGCATTGCACCACCGCAAGACTATATGCCATCGTCAGGAAGGCCTTCAACCCGTAGATGTGCCGGTGTTGGACTAGACGTGCAGTGTCAAATTCGCTCTCAGGAGTTAGAACTCCGCAGTTCTACAGGTTTGCTTATTTTATTATTAAACAACCACCTCTACACAGCTGTTAAACAACTCGAGAATCTACTTGCTAGGCGCAAGCCTTGGTGAACTCGACGCCTTCGTCCGCCAGCTCCTATTCATCTGTACAGGTATTATCACGTTCCGGTGGTGCTGTGCACACGAATCGGTGTGTACTCCTGCGCTTCTGCCCAGCGCCCCAGCTTCACATCCAGCAGCGCAGCATTGTGGCAGGCCAGGGCCAGATAGTAGGCCTGTCTTTCGAGCTCGGTCCAGCCATGCTACCGAACCGACCGAACGTGTCTCCTGGACCATCTCAGGCAGTTCCACGTTTGAGAAGACGTTGTACATCAGACCCAAGGCCTGACGCCAAAGACCCAACTTGCGGATCTCACATGGAGTGCCAGGGGCATGAACGGTCAGGCCTCCAAGCCCCAGCGCAGGCCATGCTCGTCGTGGTCAATATCACCCAGAACTGCAGAAAGGTTCAGAAGCGTCAGAGCCTTGGCTGAGGTCACAAAGATCAACTCAGTAAACTGTGAGCTGGAGACGAGGCCGAAATAGGGGGCCCTAATATAGTACCCTAGATAGTAGGATCCTTATTATAAGGACCCCCCAAATAAGGTACCCCCAATTTTCGGAAACTCCCACTTCCTTCTGACCGAGGGGCAATGAGCAAAGGATGCTGCTGCACGGTATCTCCCCCGGCAAGGCAGAGGCTCTTCGCCTCGATCCCCCATGAACAACCAACTGAGGAGCTGGGCCTTAGGGATGCTTAGGGCGTGGTTTAGGTTTTTTGTCTTTTTGCGGGCTGCTCTCAGGGGGATTCACACCTACCCCGGAATTGCAACCGGTTTAGGATTTAGGGTGCCGAAATGTGCCGAACTTGAGATCAAGATGAATCTTAGTCTTAGTCCAAGAGCCGGACAATGCAGGCCACTTCGCAGACTGCAGAAAGACCCCCCGCAAGCCCCATCTTTACAAGCTGTGCCCCTTTTGCATCCGTGATGCTTCTCCAAGAGCATCGATGGCCTCGGAACTCCAGTTTCGACGGTAGACATGACAACCACCAACGCTCTCAAGACAATTACGATGACCAACGGCAAGAAGAGAAACAGGAATTAACCTAGACGAAGCTACTGCAATATTACTGCCCGGTGGCGATGATACTCTTCTTGCAGCTACTGGAGACTACAAACCAATTGTCTAGCCTACTGAGATTTCTGATCTTCTTGGCATCTTACACCTGGGCCACCTAGGTGACAAAGCGTTACTGCAACAGGCCTTCTGGAAGAACTTGATCCTTCGCGCGGCGCACGCCAGCACCGAGAGGGCAATGATCCTGGACCGAGGAGAGGTCACCACTGGCCCTGTGGTTCTCGAACAAGAACAACAACAACAGCAATGATAATGAAATCACACGTGACGACGGTAAGACCGGCAAAATCGACAGCTCCTAAAATTCTGACAGTAGCCATGGCCGCGCTAGCAAGCAGTCCTGAAGCAGTCATGACGAAAACAACCAAACCACAAGGACAGGGCCGGCAATCGTCATCAAGGGGCATCATATTATGCGCAATGCAGACAGGCCGTCTCACAGTATGGACATCACCATGGGTTCATCGCACGACTGTCAAATTAGGCTTTGAAGCAGGGCCCTGACAAATAGTTTTGCAATTGTATACTCAGACAAACAGGACATAATCGAAAATTTGAAGGCCTCATGAAGTCGAAGTCCGCATCAGGGTCGGTCTGAAGCCGCGGCTCGCTCGACTTTGTGGCTGGGATGCACTGCCTGGGCTCACTGATACAAAGCGTGTCATCGCGGGCTCAGATTCAACTTTTGAGGTCATTTGCACAACCAGTTCAGCTTCCATTTGCAAACTGATTTCTGCAGGCACGATCTGGTAAAGTGCGCAGGTTTGCGCCAGGAAGCTCGCAGAGCTTCATCGCGATGCGGGCCTCGCGTGCGTCGAGGTAAGCCAAGGCCATCTTGCAGTGCGTTAGGACCGCCTGTGGCACGCTTGAGACATTCACTCTGCTGCAATCGCCGGCAAAGTATAAACAAGCACAGAACTCTGAGTGCTGGAGTGCTCACTAGCCTGCCATTCATGCTGGAAAAACAGTGGAAGATTGCCATGTGCCTCTCTGTGGTTCTGCTTGAACTCGTCGTCGAAAGCAACGATGCCCATCTCACAATGCTTCAACCTAAGGCCGATAACAGCATGCCACAAAAGAAGCCTGGGAACAGCTTGCCGCCACGCTGCTTCTCTATTTGGTGAGCCATACGGTCGGCCATTAAAGTCGGCCACTTCCGGTGGTAGATCTCCTGAAATGCAGCTTCTCTAGACCGTCCAAGAGAAATCGCTGCAACATGGGCATCTCTGCTGCCGAGCTTCCGTCTGGAAGTACAACCTTATTTGCCCAGACTCTAAATGTCTAGCAAGAATGTCAGGGCTGCGAAGGCTGTGAGCTTGTTTATCACGCTGCCACTGCTTACAATGAACTATGCCGGCCCCTGACTTGAGAAGCATTTCGCAGGCCGAAGGGCTTGTTTGTGTACCGCTCATCTCCCAGCTCAACTGGCGAGAAGTACCTCGGTTGTCGAAGCTTGCTGTGGTGTCGAAGATACAGCGTTGCAGGACAAGCTGTCGTGACGAAACTTTAATTTCTGCAAAGCAACATGATTTCATAAAGGAGCGTGTCTTCCACCTTGGACAGTGATTTCGGTCGGGACATGTCAAAACCCAGCATGAGTCAGGCAAAACACGGCACAAGAAAAGGGCGCCAAGTCACGCCATCTCGAGTGATCCTCATCGCCTCCAGCCCGGCGGTCTTCACAGGGCCGTAGGAAGCGTTTGCCTATTGGCTCCCCTACACCTTGAGCTTGAGGTGAATACTGTCTCTGGCATAGTGGCTGCTAGACGAAGCCCACCACTCTGACCCTAGAGCAGTGCAGCAAAGAACTCCTGACAGGTATCCTTGACATCAACAACTTGAGCCCAAAAAGGCGAGACAGTGCGGGCAATGCTTTCTACAGGATCGATCTGGCTCGGAACCGACAATGGCGCAAGATGCTCTGTTGTATGTCTACGAGCTGAACTTGCGGCTTCATGCGCAGTTTCTGGCTTTCTGGTCTTGTTTGTTGCGCAAGCATACAGATGTTTTAGCCGTTTAGCATTAAAAGCATCGTGGTTGACTCATCAAGCACCTCTGACTCTTACTGAACAGTTCAGGACGGATCAAAAACAGAGGATTGCCATGTCCGGCCACTGAACTGTGCCAGGACCCTCGCAGTCTAAAATCTTTCTTCTTTTCCCCATCATGTCGATCTTCTCTGGCTTTGGGCTTTGGTTGTCCATAGCCAACTGGACTTTGTCCCAGTTCAACAAGCTCAGACATGGAATGGGAGCCGACGAGGGTCAAGCGTCCACTGTTGCAAGAGAGAAACGGATGCTGGCTTCAAAGAGTCACAGCAGTTGCGGCGCAGAACTTGGCCAGTCTTCAGTTCGTCTTCTATACTCTACATTGCATCATCTTGCGTCAATCGACCTGTGTCACAGCCCATGGATGTCAGCTTCGTGAGAAGTGGTACAAGCACCACATCGACTCGCAATCTTCCCACTTTTGACCCTCATGCACCTGCTGGTAGACCCTCGGAACTGCTGTTTCCTCCTCGTCCTCTTCTTCCTCTTCGCGTTCGGCCACGCCCATCAAACTCAGCGGCGAGAGATGACGATAGCAAGCACGAGCACAAGCTGCAAAAGGACGGCTGTCATACTATATTTCCGCGAACGAGACTCCGCACGACTAAGCCGTCCATTGAGCAACAGAACTGCTGTCCCCATGTCATGCTAGCACGGCTTTACGTCACGTGCGAGCAACTCCGAATGACGCTCCCTTGTATCTTGTACTATGCTGTCCAGTATACCAGACGATCTTATCCTATTCCATGTGAGATGTGTCCAACGAACCACTTGAAAACCAATTCTGGTCCACGGTTTGTTCTGCCAAGAGGCTGCTCCTGCACCGGACCTTGAATGCGGTCATTTCTGAGATAGTACCGTATTGTGAGGTGCAGGACAGTATACTGCATAGTGCCATGTAGTCGAGTATGAAACAACATTCTACACTAGGCTCCTTGCTCGTTCGGGTCCCTTTTTGGGTACCCTACATAATAGGTGCCGTATTATATTCGGAACCCCAAAAAGGACCATAATTTTGACAACGACCCATTTACAAACAACAAACAGGCATGGACAGACACACATCCGGACGGCAGGATGCAGCTCTCGCTTTACTTCTATCGCCTCCAGGAAACTTGCAGGAGAAGTGCCTCCCCCCAGTAAACTTGAGCTGGATCTCTCACTCCGCGGCCTCAGCTGCTTTCCGTCTGAAACAATCCGAACTCGCTCCGTGCTCTCGAAACCTAGTGTCAGAGGTTGGTAGCAAGGCAACTGTTCAAGGGATTCATCTTGACGATCGTCTCTCATCGTCTCTCATGACCTGTGGTACTTGCTGAGGGTTCCCAAGTACGATTGGGCTGAGAAAAATTTGATTGGAGCAGACCCAGTCGCGTCATTGGGCTGTCCTCCATGTCGCAGCCTTTTGTCTCCAGGACCCAGAAATAAATTCCGACCACGCCCAGGGCGCTCACGGAACCTTGCTGGCACACATGCCCATGGCTCAGTAGTTTTTAAAACCGGAGCAGAAACTTCAAGCACACTTGCGGCAGTGTCAGAGTTGCAAGGGCAGGAAGTCAGACCGAAAACATCGTGTTGCGCATGTTATTTCTCCTCATCTCAGCAGGTCTCGGGCGCAGGGCTGTGCAGCCCCGGCTCAACGCTCAACTCGGCTTTCATGACATCACTCGGGCCTGCGGAGCCGTCCCTTGAGCCCAGTGCTCTGGGCTACCGCGGCCTTCTCCTTCTCTTTCGTTTGGGGCTCCTTTTTTCGATGCTTGGCTTTGTCTTTTCGGGGAGATCCGCGCTTCGCCAGCGGAGGCAAAGCCTCCTCCTGCTCCGCCAGTTCCAGCTGTATACCGGTCTGGCTCTCGATTCGCGCTTTCAAGTCCTGTAGGACCCGGATGGTCGCCAACTTTTCACGAGACAACAAATCCCAGTAGATGCCCTTTGGCTTGGTTGGCTGCTTCGCCTTGTCCACATAAATGGTTTGAGTGGGTGTGACGATAATGTCCACCGGCACATCGTGCTTCATCATGCCCTTACCTTTCGGCGGGAAATCATCAGCAATAACTTGGCTATCATGCACAGTGGTGATGATCGGCGTTGATTCCTCAGTGGGTCAGTCTTTTCTCACACCGTTGATTCGATACATAATCTGCAGACAAAACAAACTAAAACACCCTGTACCTAAGAAGTGACATCGCAACAGCTATGTTGCAGCCTATGCAGCTCTGCATACGTTCTCAAACACAGACCACAGCAGAGTACTGCACTATGAAACATCTCCAAACCAGGGCCAAGATCATCGATCATGCCCAGCTGGCGCATGATGCCATACTCCAACTCTGCGAAGCCTTCACCCTTGCCAACACGGATTCCTGATTCAGGATGCACAGCTGACGACCCCACGACTACAACGTCGATCTTTGTCTTATCATCCAAGTCCATGGGGTCTGCAAGCTGCTTCATTCCGCCTTGGCAAGCTCGAGGTGCGCACTGTCACGCTCTCCTACTCAGACTTAGCACAGTGCGCTATATCCAAGCAACTGCAGCTCAAAAGACACGAGGATGTCTGTGAATGTCCGTGAGACCAGAATCGATGCTGGGCTCCCGACGTGCCGTTGCTGCGAAGTTGTACTTGTCAGGTGGGACAGTTCCAGGCTCAATCCGTGAGAAGAAGCCTGTCCTGAGACGTGGCTGAGGTACATAGAGGATCTTCCGGGAGCGCAGCGCTGCGACCCGAACAGACTTCTGTGGCGTGTCTGGGTTCACTTTCACGATCTTCGCGTCAATGAACTCCTGGGTTCAAGTTACCATAGGAGCGACCTATAGCAAGTAATATGGCTTCCCTATTCTGGTAACTTAAACGAAAACCCTTAATAAGAAGTTACTATATTCGGGACCTATAGTAAAGAATAGGGTTTCCTTGTTATGGTACCTTAAATAAGAAACTCTTAACAAGGACCCAGACTCAGGCAGCTCAGCCAGGCGCTCCCCGGCTCGTGCAGAGCCCTGAAAGTTAGGGATGCGATGGTGCACGGGTCTTGGAAAATCCGCCAGGTCGTTATCTTCCAAGAAATTCCACACACGTTGCCGTATGTCCCATTTCCATGCCTGAAAGTACTACGGCTGGAGCAAAATACCAGGGGAAATGCTGTGATTTCTGCTTACTTGCACAAAGCATGCCGTCCAGGAGGCGGTTTTCTGGGCACGGATGTTCCCACCCTCCGCTAGCTCCTGTGCAAAGACTGCAGACTGCAGGTGGACACTGCCGCTTCTTGCCGTGAGCTAAATTATGATGGCAGACTGCCCAGATGTCCTGTATGAGCTTCATGTACTCTTGCATGCCCTCGCGTGCTTCCTGGTCCAGTCGCTGTCGTTCCTCTTCTGTCTCCTGGTGGTCGGATAGACGGGCTGGGCCAGAAACGATTGGCCTAACCGCCTGCGGTATCATGCTGCTAGGTGCTTCGATTTCCTTGTCACCCAGTCGTGTATAAGAAAGCCACGAAGCTCTGCTAGGTTTCTTGCTTCAATTTAGAGCAGGCGAACCTGATTATCCTGTTGCCGGCCGTTCCTCGAGACGACATGAAGGAGAAGCAAGCTGGAAGCAGAATCGCATGTCCCGACTGGTTCAACCTTATCGGTGAATGCGCAGCACGCACATTCAATGTCTGTCGGTATATCAACACTACATCTGTAGAGTATTAAGTGCTTGAAAGATTTTATGGGTCGTGGTATGAGGAGCAGCCTCAGCAGCAAGCAGTTGCAGCAGCGGGCATACTCTGAGTTCTGAGGCTTTCTAACCAGCTAGCTGCAAGGACAGTGTAAAAGACTGATCTTCTTGACATGAAGCACTAATCACATGCATGGCTCAGAAGCAACGGCAGCTTATCAACCCTGCTCCTTCGTTTGTCGCACCTGCATGCAGCTTCGTCGGCCTTGTATCAAGCGAGGTCGGAGTGCGACGCAGGTGCATCCAACCACTGCCCAGCGAAAAGCCGCCTCCAGACTGCGGAAAAACTCTCGCAGCAAACCTCTACAGTAGAATCCTAGAGTAGAAAAATTCCAATCCTGAAACGAAGGGGGCCGTCCCGCGAAGCCTCGGCTGAGAGTGGCTGCTTGAGCGCATGCCTTAGTGGCCTGCCCAGAACTTCATGTGCCCCAGAGGCCAGCAGTGGACTGGATGGGGCCCGCAAAGCATGCATCGCCATGGCTCGCGAAGAAAGCGAGATTGTGTTCGGTGCGTACTATAAGTGAGTTTCGGCGAATCTACTTCACACCTCCCTCCGCCCCGACTTGGGGATTGCATGGTCTTCCAGGTACTTTGAGTCCTACGGCACGCACGCTGTTTCGGGCCTTCCTGCTCTTGTGTGTAAGGCTCGCTGCAGCACGCCATATGTTGACGAAGCGGCTGCAGCCAAATGTTGTGGATTCAAGATTTCTCAGCAGCCTTGTCAATACATGTTGTTCAGGTCTGGTAATTATCCCGGGCTTCCCGACTTGCTGAATTCATGTGTGCTGCATCGCGATCTCAGGCTAGTACCGAACAGCAAGCACGAGGAATGCAGGTTCCTCAGTGGCGGAGCTTTGCGGTCAGTGCTCGGACTTCTGCTGTCATGCTGCGCACGACAACTGAAGATGCCAAGCGGATGATGCGCGTATTTCCGTCGGTCACACTTTCTTTGCGTTAGCGAATCAAATCAAAGGCATAGACATGTGCAGCCTTGATGCAGGAACCGTGCGATCAGCACAACGAAGAAGCAACTCAACCATTTGATGACTCCGCATGCGGAGAGCGCAGGTCCTTGCGACTCCACACAGAATGCAGATTACTCTTTGCAATCTGCCCCTAAACCTATGCTCGAAGCAGAGAACTTCACGACTCGCAAGAACTATACTATACTATACCGTAGTACACTATAGTATAGTATACTATAGTATGCTACAAGTGTATACTATACCGCGTTTCCTCGAATTTCCGAGGGGTAGATCTCCGAGAGCCAGAGCCACGTGATAGCTCCGAGGCCGAAATTCCAGGAAACCACGAAGAAGCCTGGAGGAAAGCGATAGGCTCTTAGACTCCGAGTCTTTGCTCTTACATAATACGGAGCATATATGAGTTTATGTACATTATATCCTTATACTCTAATCACTTGTACTCGCCCCTTTCTGCTTGACTTCTTCTCCGTGATCTTGCGCTTACGGTTGCGGGTTGCGCTCTGAGGCTATCTGAGCTCGGGGCTGAAAAAGACGAAGGCGCTAATTCCCTGCACCACCAGAGGCCTCAAGTGATGTACAGGGTTGCGTGTTTCAGGTGTCCGGCTTTATAGGGTTCAGGCAAACGTTGGGATTACCGGATTACAGGAAGCCCGTGGAACCGAACCGAACCGCGGAAACCGAACCGCGACGAACCGAACCGCAACGAACCGCGCGAACCGCGAACCGAACCGCACGAACCCAAGTCTGCAAAACGAACCGAACCGCGATCTTTATTTCTACTGCTGCTGCTACTACTCCTACTCCTACGACGACTACTATTACTACTACTACTACTACTACTACGACTACTGCTACTGCTACTTCTACTTCTACGGGGTTTGAATGGCTTCATGGGCTCACGATCTAAGGTTCAAGGTTTGGGGTTGGGTTTGCGGGGAACGAGAGCATATTCGCAGATTTAGCGTATATTTGCACGGATTTGGTGTGTATTTGCACGGATGCAGTGTGTATTTGCACAGATTCCGTGTGTATTTGCACGGATTTGGTGTGTATTTGCACGCATGCCCTATGTACTTGCAGGAATTTAGTGTGTATTTGCAGGGATTTAGTGTGCATTTATTTGTGCGGATTTGGTGTCACTTGCAGCCCCCATACAAGCTTTTATTAAGCACCGCCTTCAGAGCCGGGTGTCCCACGAGAGCCGGATGTCCACCCAGACCCGGATGTCCCGCGAGAGTCGGATGTCCACTGATGTGCACCCAGAGTCCCCAGAGAGCCCAGAGCCTTTGGTCACCCCAAAATCTCTATTCTGGGTGGGGAAAGGGCCTAAATGACCATTCCGGGCATTGAGCCCGCAACTTCTCCAAGAGAGCATGTAAGGCATCCGCCCACCCATTGAGCTATGGCCGGATAGTTCTGTGGGTGGGCGGCCGCCTCATCAGCGGATTTGGGCAGGGGCCTGAAAACTCCAAAGTGATGAGCCAAGTCCTGTGGCGAACTCTTGGCTCAGCATTTTGGATGGTTTTCCGGCCTTAAAACTCCAAAAATGATGAGCGAATTCACTTGTCTCAAGTCACTTGGCTCAGCATTTTGGAGTTTTCGGGGCCTGAAAACTCCAAAATGATGAGCCAAGTCCCGCCCAAGTCATTCGGCTCAGCATTTTGGACTTTTCGGGGCCTGCAAACTCGAAAATTATGAGCCAAGTCTTGCTGAAATCACTTGGCTCAGCATTTTGGCGTTTTCGGGGCCTGAAAACTCCAAAATGATGAGCCAAGTCCCGCCGAAATCACTTGGCTCAGCATTTTGGAGTTTTCGAGGCCTGAAAACTCCAAAATGATGAGCCAAGTCCGCCGAAATCACTTGGCTCAGCATTCTGGAGTTTTCGGGGCCTGAAAACTCCAAAATGATGAGCCAAGTCCCGCCCAAGTCACTTGGCTCAGCATTTTGGAGTTTTCGTGAGCCACGTCCCGCCCAAGTCACTCGGCTCAGCATTTTGGAGTTTTCGGGGCCTGAAAACTCCAAAATGATGAGCCAAGTCCCGCCGAAATCACTTGGCTCAGCATTTTGGAGTTTTCGGGGCCTGAAAACTCTAAAATGATGAGCCAAGTCCCGCCCGAAATCACTTGGCTCAGCTTTTTGGAGTTTCCAGGGCCTGAAAACTCCAAAATGATGAGCCAAGTCCCGCCGAAATCACTTGGCTCAGCATTTTGGAGTTTTCGGGGCCTGAAAACTCCAAAATGATGAGCCAAGTCCCGCCGAAATCACTTGGCTCAGCATTTTGGAGTTTTCGGGGCGTGAAAACTCCAAAATGATGAGCCAAGTGCCACCGAAATCACTTGGCTCAGCATTTTGGAGTTTTCGGCGCCGAAATCACTTGGCTCAGCATTTTGGAGTTTTCGGGGTCTGAAAACTCCTATTAAGCCCCACCTTCAGAGCCGGGTGTCCCACGAGAGCCGGATGTCCACCCAGAGCCCGATGTCCCGCGAGAGCCGGATGTCCACCCAGAGTCCCCAGAGAGCCCAGAGCCTTTGGTCACCCCAAAATCTCTATTCCGGGTGGGGAAAGGGCCCAAATGACCATTCCGGGCATTGAGCCCGCAACTTCTCCAAGAGAGTCTGTAAGGCATCCGCCCACCCATTGAGCTATGGCCAGATAGTTCTGTGGGTGGGCAGCCGCCTCATCAGCGGATTTGGGCAGGGGCCTGAAAACTCCAAAGTGACGAGCCAAGTCCTGTGGCGACCCCTTGGCTCAGCATTTTGGATGGTCTTCGGTCCTCAAACTCCATAAATGATGAGCGAATTCAGTAGGCTCAGCATTTTGGAGTTTTCGGGGCCTGAAAGCTCCAAAATGATGAGCCAAGTCCCGCCGAAATCACTTGCCTCAGCATTTTGCAGTTTTCGGGGCCCGAAAATTCCAAAATGATGAACCAAGTCCCACCGAAGTCACTTGGCTCAGCATTTTGGAGTTTTCGGGGCCATGTAAGCGAGACGAAAGCAGATTGCGGTTTGGACGGTTTAAAGTTTAAATGATCCCGTGTGTGTTTTTTACTTATGGGGCTGCGAACCGCGAGGAACCGCGAACCGAACCGCGGGCGAACCGAACCGCATGAACCGCTCAATCGGTTCCAACCGGTTTGCGCGAACCTAACCGAACCGAATGGAAACGCGAGAACCCTGGGATTAAAGTTAAACAAAACATGCCAAAATTCGTGTCAACAGCGAGGAGACGATGTCGTCTGCACAAATCTGAATGATGTCCGACAGGGTGCAAGAACTGCACGACGTACACCATAGATGCCTGAGTGCCACCAGCCTACGGATGGCAGGAAGCTCTTGAAGCTCTAAGCCGCCGAGGCACCATAGCTAGGCTCTGCGTGATGCAGCCGTAGAGCAGCAAGGAACGCCGGCCCATGTTATCCACAAGCTGGGTGCTCCAAACCTTAGTCTTCATAACCTTCCCGGTAAGAACATGAAGTTCACTCGTTTCTTCCATGCAGCAGAGACGAGTACGTTGGCGATGCACATCCTAAGCACGCAAGTCCGCGACAGCAACCAAACAGTTTCGAGACAAGCCACACCAAGGCCTTCAACTAACACGGGTTGGTGAAAAAACACTTCAAGTGCCCGTGTATGAACTGCTGTGGCTGGAATCCGGGCTAGTCACCGACGTTGGCTCGAGCCCTAGCCCTAGGCATGCATGTGCCAGCATCGAATCCAGACAGATGTATGCATTTTTCGGCTGCTGAAGATGACCTTTCTGGCTCAGCCTGAGCACTCCTGCATTCCGACTGACGGCAGGCTTAGGTCAAACTGAACGAAAGGTTGTGATTTTGATGCACATTTCCCCCTGCAAGCACCGGGACACGAGCGGTGCAGGTGGTCTGTCGTTTTGCTCCGACCAAGTAGCTACCCCTGAAACTTTCCCAATATGCCGTTCAGATGGGTTCCAACTGGTCAGGGGCAGAGGCCACACACAGGCAGGAAAAGCCTCACCCCCTGTTATCCCATCTCTCTATCTGTTTTGGAATTTTAGGCATCGTTCTTCTGAACTCGAGCACTGAAGGGAAGACATGCTGATATGCTATTCCGGCTGCAGAATTTTAATCCTGCAACCCAAAACATTTGTTGCAAGAAGCCATTCAGCTCAAAATCGCAGACTCCACTAAAAAAGAAAGTTGTGACAATTAAATAGGACTTCAAGGGCCGTTAATCAGTCATACCCCTTGTTCCCGGCTGCTATCCAAGCATCCCAACAGAAGCCAGCGTAAGGTCATTGTCGGGAATTCCAGCTTGTGCGAAAAGGCCATTAGAGTACGCCATCAGTGCCTCACTTCAGACCGATCTCGCTGATGTGACATGCAAGATTCACGTTGCAGCTGCACGTGCTGAGGCCTCAACATTAATTCCCGTAAGCCTTTCAAGGACAGAACACACAGAAGATCGAAGAAGTGATCGAAATGATTCGAATCTCCGAAAGCAACGAAACCGAACTCTCCACCAAGCAGCTGCTGGTAGGACGCAAGGAAAAAGCCCACCTTGGAGCTACAGGCACGCTGAGAAGTCGCGATGTTGCGCCCTTCATCCAAGGAGCCATAATTGAGCAGCGCAAGTACCGATCTTGCAGTGCCTGCAACAGTAACAAATGACACGGCCCATGGTTTGAACAACGGAACATGTTGAAGCGGCTTTGCAGCCTCCCCGGCACTGTCCCTAGTGCAGTAGCAGTCAATGTCAATCGCTCTATTACTGGCGAGTTTTGCTAGCACACGAGCAGTCGCAGAGCTCCGCCACTTCAGCAGGCAATACCCTGCGTTTGGGCATTCTCCAGTCTGCTCATTTGATTGCTACGTCGGCACCGGTACACGCTGGTCGAACACCCCAGCATGCAGACAGGTTGGAGCTTCCGTGCTTCTTTTCTTTCATATTAACGCGATTTTCGGATCGGTCTACAGCGAGTCTGCCCTCCGGTACTCCGATTGCATTCAACATTGGGAGCAGGAGCATCAAGACTCAAGAGCAGGCTTGTGCACCGGCGGATCATCTATTTCACCCGCCATACAGCAGATTTGAGGCTTAGGGTTGCAAACTCGGACTGGCATCTAGAGAAGCGTTCGTCTTGTCTGGCAAACTGTTGATTTTCTTGCCACAGTACCTACAATAGTACTTCAGCCGTTGGTGACTTTCATCTTTTTCCGTGTCTCTCGTTATCAATAACACTTTCAACAGGAGTCAAGGCTTCCTTGTCACGGGAAGTCCGGTCGCTTACTCGAAAGTGCATGACTCTGCTCAAATGCCTTTTGGCCACGCGCTGAAGTCGCAACCGGTGCACCTGAACGACCGTGATCCGCTTGGCGGCCTGGGCCTCTGCTGCAACGACCTGAGTTGGCTTTGCTTCACGACTGATCGTAGCCTCTGCAAGCTGGCAAGCTTAGGGCTTACTGTCTGCGACAGTCTGTGGGCGTGTTCGCTCAACAGCCGCACGGAAACTGTTAACAGACGCTGCCACTGTTGAATTATGGCTTTCTCGCCACGGTGCCGCGAGGTCCTTCAACTTCAGCTCGAGCTTCGTAACTCGGACCTGTTCCAGCCCAGCAGACCTCGAGTTAGTCAGCTTCCACTCCGTGGCTTTCTGGGTTTATAAGCGCAAGCCAGGGGCGACTCCGGTGCTGACAGCCCATATGTTCTGTACAGCATCATCCTCGCCCAGGACACAGTCCATGGTTCTGCATCGCTCTGACTGCTACAGTCCTATCCGCAACGTGCTAAATTGTTCTCCCGGCCATTGTAACGCCCATGAGAAAAGACCAAAATGAACCCCAATGCAACAACTCGTCCTGGCTTCTTCCATTTGACCCTGGCGCGGGAATGTAGCTTCTGTCACTCAAGCGGGTGTAAGGCAGCTGCAGGCGTCTGGCCTGCCGCACCAAGTACAATGCCGGGTCGATGGGGAGGTCGAACTTCATAAGCACGTACTGGAACCCTGCGACCCGAGTGGCATCAGCAATCCAAGTAACCTGCACTGTCCTGCGATTTCCACAAACCAAAGCGAATTGAGTCGCTCGGTTGGTTAGGAAAAGTCCAGATCGAGCGATGGCACCGTCAGACGCCTCCGGCCAGAATCGGCAGCCCAAGGATGACTCGCCAGAACCATCTGTTGGTTTCCTGAACTCGACACGGCGATGCCGTGCAAGAGACATGCTTCTCACATCCTACCAGGTCCGGCATTCGACATGTGTTGCTTGTCAAGTGCGATGTCAAAGACGGACATCCCTCGATATGGATTTACTCGCCGGCAAGTTGAAATTTACTCATTGGAAACAGCAGTTGGAATGACCATCCATCCAGTATGGTAAGCATTAAGCAGGGCCAGCTTCGGTCAAGCCGTTGCCAGGAGGATCCTGTGGGAGCCCTATCAGCTCGGCGCACAGAAGTCCTTGGCACGACCAAAACGGACTTCTGCAATGCTAGCTCGTGTTTACTGCAGTGAAGTGCTGCTGCCAGAAATCCTACGGCAATGTAGAGGCCATGCTTGGCGGCATGTAGGCCCCGCTGCTCAGCGGGAGAGACCTGGCAGCCACAGGCTGAACTTCATTGCTGACGCCCAATCGAAGATGACACGCGCAGAAGCATACTGCGGATCTTATTCTGCCATACACTCCGCATTCTGCCTCTGCAATGTACACCGGGGCCGCAATGGCCTGAAGCAAGCTCTCACACAACACGCGCCCAGCAATTGAGCACACGCTCACACGCACTTCACACACACTTGACACATCGTGTCGCAGGTCTGATCTGTCAGTGCATATTGTCAGAAGCTGTCAGAGAAAGTCAGAAGCTGTCAGGAGAAGTCAGAACATGCAATCTGAAGTGCTACCATAGGACAAACGCGAATCACTCATGTAACTGCACATGATACTGCACATGAAACTGCACTGCACTCCTACCCACAATCGACAGTTGCGTGGTCACAAGCTGCACAAAAGTGCCCATGCCGACCACTGCAGGTACGCTTACCTGTCTCAATATCACGGAGCTTCATTGGCAGAGGCCGTGAAATGAGACCCTCTGCCCCCTGCTGCTTAACTCACTCACGTCTCTTGGAAACAGAGTTGGACACACACAAGCCCCGAGGGGCTCCGTGCAATGTTGATGGTCGTTGCGCGCTGTTTTTCTCACCGATTTTTCATCGAAACGTCTTGTGCTTAAGAGAACTGGGAGAGTGGGCTACGAAACTTCAGAAAACGCAGTCTGTACACTAAGTGCAATTCTACTTCGGCTTCTTCTGCATCAGAATCGAAGTACATGCAACACTGGGTTGCAGTTTGGTACGCAGCATTGGCCAAAGACACGATACTCACTCGCAAACGCTCCTGTGCTAGGTCTACCACGGCACGCATCCACCTCTTGGAAGGGCTGCCCAACATGGTGCAAGCCACAGCATTGTTTTGAACAAAACGGATGGTGGTATGCAAAGACTGAAAGCCCATGGTCAACTCAACCGAGGAGGACAGCCGAAATTCTTGTATCCCACGTTGCAAGAATGTGTACGCCACCATGGTGTCGGTTATGGGTTGTGCCTCTTCCGGGTCGTCGTTTCGATCGAGGCGAGTAATGAATGTAATTCTGGCTCTGATCGGCAACAAGTACGTCAAGATGTTCTCGAGCACGTCAGAAGCGGCCCAATCCATGTTGTTCAGAATCTACAAAACTTCCAGACTGCTTGATACAAAACTCTGTTACATGTCTGATGAAAGCAGCTCCCAAAAGCACAGCACTTGCACATCCCTGACATGTCTCTCTACACATTCCTTGCACAGCACTTGCACGTACCTCGCACGTCCCTTGCACATCACTTGCACTCCGCTTGCACATCCCTTGCTCATCACTTCTCTTGACATGAAGCAGTGGTGGACTCTTTTTAAACCGTCACAACGAAATCAACCGGTTCAAGGGTTTGTGCAATCGTTACAGGTTCAGTAAACCGAAGATGGCGAAGGTTTTGTACAAGTTGAAACGTGTGTAACCTAGGCCACCAGCCAAACTTCTCCCAGAGCTGCAACGCGACGAGGTATTTGGCAACGTTGATGGAGTCGTTGATTGAGAGCTGGATGTGGAGAGTGATAGTCTCGTGTCCAGTTGCTCGACTGCAGACACGAACCCACATCCGAAAGATGTAGTCACGGCTCATACTCCAAGGCAGATTGGCTTCTCGGGCCTTCCGCTTCATGTTAGGCAACCTACAAAGTTTCACTGGATGCCAAATGCTGCAACTCAAGACGATTCATGCAGAAGACTGATAATGCACAGCACAGCAGACGCGCACTCTTCAGGCTCCTTCGACTGTCTTTGTCCGCTCTCTCACTTTCGGTCTAAGACGTACTGCACAAGTTTCAAAGTAGACGGAAAACGCTTCCTAGGGCCTTGCTTTACTTTGGCAATGCGTTCTCCATGTTGTCTCAAGAAATCGAGAATGAATTGGGCTCTGTTGTGAATGAAGAAGTCGTCACCAAGCACTCTCGTGCCTTCCATTCTGCGGCGAAATTGGGCACTGGGTGCAGGACGAATCTTGATGCGCGCACCATCAGAACCTTCATCAATCATACGAAGCTTGCGTTTCCGCGGCGGGTCCGTCTTCAACATGTTGGTGTGTTCTGCAGCGGACTGGTTCGACTTTGGAACATGAACAGATCGACCAGGGGACATTGACGTAGACTGTCGGTCATGGAACGATGACGCATTCGGATCAGCCGAATCAGGATCGCTGACCAAGGTAACACCTGATGCCAAATCTGCACGTCGATCACGTTCTTGGTCCGACACTGCAAAGTCTGACGAAAAGTCGGACGAGTGCACGTCCGATACCGAGGCAGCATCGCTCTCAAAACTGGACACCGACATAATTGAAAGCTACCTGTACGTTTCACGGCTTTTTAGAACCGCAGAGTGCCTTGAGGACATGAATCAAGACAGTGTCTGCAAACATTCACAATACATGGTGCCGGCAGATCGCTTGTATAACCCTTGCACATCACTTGCACATCACTTGCACGTCTCTTGCACATCCCTTGCAATACCCTTGCAGTAACACTGGCGCACAGAGTCTTCTTTGCAACTGCTCACGTTTCACTCCGAGACTTCAATCACTGCTGGGAGTGTTGGGGGCAACTCTGAGGATTCTTGCAGCTGGAGAGAATTAACACAATGGGAAGTCACAGATTGAATGGAATGCAGATCCGTCAGCAGGTTGCCCACCACTTCGTTGGTCTTCTGAAGTTTCTGAAACAGTTCCGTGATGGCAGACATGACTTCTGCCACCTGAGACTCAGTGTCCCTGATTTGTGTGGTGAGCACGTCGAGTTGGGACTGTTGGATCTTTTGGACGGAGATAGCTTCTTCCCGAAAGTGACGAAATTCACTTCTGATTGTGATCAGCTCTTGTTGTGTGTAGGAAATCCAGCGCTGAAGAGGTGCCAACGGATCACACGCTGAGTTGCTCGACATTGGTGCAATGGGGCGAAACTTGAGCAGGATGCTGCAAAACTGATCTGGTATGCAATACAACATGAATGAAGTGATACTCTCAGCACTTGCATCAGATGCACGTTCTTTCCTCACTGCAGAACTCACATGCGCCACAGATACAAGCAAAGGTGTCAAACTCCTGTCACTCCGGACATACTTAGCTGAGATCAGACGATTGACTGCGTCGAAATCGGCGTGATTCACGCCTTCTGGTAGGCATGGGTTTAGATCTGATTGGAGTACCTGACATAGCTGAAGATGTAGGCGCAGCCGACGACGAAGCGGTACTCGACACCAAAGGAGGGTCAGGCGCACGATGCCCCAAGCTTCCTGGTAGTACCGGGGGGGGAAGGACGGGTGCACAGGCACTGGGGGGGGAAATTGGGAGGGGGAAGAGGAGGAGGGAGGGGAGGGGGAGGGAGAGGGGGAGGGCCAGGGGGAGGCAGGGGAGGAGGTGTGGCGCTGGAAGATGGGTTGTCAACCACTGCAATCTGCACACTCCTCATTGCTGGCTGGGGGGGTGGAGGCGCATAGGGATGGGATCTGCAATTGCCACTGGACGAACGTGATCCTGAAGCTCCACTACTGCTGGGACGTTCCTCACGTAAATTTGCTCTATCCCTCTCATCCAAACGACGCAACTCTTGCTGCAGCATTCTTTCTGTACCGTCACGCACAAATGCTGTCAATTGAAGTACAAGGGCTTGTCGAAGTTGAGGTCGTGATACAAAGTTGAGCAATCTCACACGCGCTGAATGAGTGAGCATTCTCAAGAACTCATCGATGCTAGGATCCGAAGGTGGCACCGTCGACATGCTTGCTTGCAAGGATGTTCTCGTCTCTTAGCCAAAAACACTGCGACGCCGACAGCTGCAAGTCTCTCACAAATAAAGAACTCAAATGAAAACATGCTGCATGCGTGTCCGCTGTCACCTATCAACTGACTACAGACACACTTTTACCGTTTCGTCAAAGCTTCGCACAAGTGAAATGAGTATCCAAGATTCGCTAACCACCGTACAAAAGTGTGGACAGCTACTTCCGCTTGGCACGTTGGCCAAGTGTACTTACGAATAAGAGAAATTCTCGACTTCGCGCCTGACACCAGCAATCGATCGCTACCTGCACTCATGGGATGTCGAACTTGCCAAAGGAACTTGGGCTGGAGATAGTAAACAGTTCGGGTTCGGACATCGATGTCAAATCCCAAAAAGTGACCATCACCGACAGCTTCAAGTACAATCGGAGAGCCATAAAAGGTCTCTTGGCTGAAGACTTGAAAAGGCACTGTTTTATGCACTTCGGTGGGTGCAATCACCAGTCTGTTATCCACATATCTTGCGAGAAAAGTGGAAGGGAAACTCGAGATCTGCGGGAACGTTGCTGCCCTCAGTCATCACCACCGGAAGGGAAGAGAGGACAGGACTGATTTGGTTACCAATTGACGTGCCATCAACTTGTTTCCACACTCTATTCAACGCCACGAACAAGCCGCATTCAAAGCTGAGGCGAACAATGGTGACCAAGTCGTAAGGATCAATGGTCTTCCAATCGAAGTGCCGACGAATATTGGAAATCCTCCCATGAATGGAACGAAAATGTTTGCTCTTCTCATTGATGCAAACCGACAGTTTAACATCAGGATGTCTGGCAGTGAACATACGAACCAACATCT